CACCACAATCTCAATAACAGACAGATAGACGGACATATATTTTTATAATAGTTGCTTCACTATTTGTATACATTTTTTCTCGGTCAAAAATGAATGAACTGAGGTTTGATAAAACTTATTTTATTTACAATTCATCATTACAGCACATGAAATCAATGTCAACTGTAACGAAATTTTATTGAAGCTTGTCATTGACTCCACAACAATCCAATCTACTACTTCAAGTTACAATGAGATCTGTCAACTATCTCCTTCGGGCACTCTACCTGCACAAAGTTGACTTTGGGAACAGGAACTGATTCCATGAACTCAAATCTGAAACGACATCCATCCTGGAGCTGCCGAGGAAGCTGAGCACACTCAGCTTTAGTACCGATTCCTCCGTATCTTTTACCCCAGCCATCAGGAGGAGCATTCCACTGGGACATGCATCCGTTGTTGATTCCCACACCCGTTCCTGGAAGAGCAAGATCGAACTGGTTGACAGCAGCGTCAGCTCCAGTGTTGGTTATCTGCACTATCATTTTCTTGTGGGACAGCGCTCCTATGAAGGAAAGAAGTACGCAGCCGCAGCACAGCTGGTAGTCGACCTTCCCTGTGAAAGAGGCCCCTGTGAAGCCGTAGGCAAGGGTTGAGTTCACCACGAAGGGTTGCTGATTGGAGCACATATAAGAGGGACCACCTCCGCAGTTGGACATTGCTTCCGGGTCGATGACGGTGACGCCATCTTTTGCGCAGGAGGTAACGGGGTTGCTGGACGTTTTCCTGAGGTTGCTCCTCCAAGAACATGATGGTTTGCAGCAGTCCCAATATCCTGTAGTAAAGCCAGTACCCCTTAAGCCTCCGGGTACGGGAATGATGTTTGGGGAGTATTCCCCGGTGCTTGAAGCAACTGAAAAATAATGGCAAAAGATGGCATGATTCGAAGCCAAAATAGTTCGCTGATTTCATATATGTTGATATTTGTATAAACACATATCAATTTTCCACAAATATTTGAATCGAGTATTGAACCGACTACAAATTTCTAGAAAAAACCGTTATATTATACAAGCACGGCTTTCCGACCCAAGAGGGCAGTTCAGAAAGTGAATCGACCGGTTAAACATGGAATTCAAATAGTGGAAATGAATTAAGCGTTAGTGGTTAATTGTTGTGAATGAATTAGTTTGAGATTAGTGAAATATTATTGGAAATAAATTTGCTCAAGACAGGTTTTTTTTAAATTTGTCACAATATGTTCCCGAATAAAAATCAGAAAGATATCTAGAGGAAACTGCATCGATTGTTGTTCCATGTCTTGCGGTAGGCTCATTTCAGTTATTATTCATTTGTAGTTCCAATTTATCTTGCAGAGAATTCACCAAGAGTTGGCCATCTATGGACGCGAAATTGACATTGAAATATGCTTCTAAAATTAGAGGCAACGTATGATAGTTTCCTCGTGATTCTTCAGAGGGTAATTGACCGTAAATGTGTCCCTGTTCCTTTTTCTCTATTGCTCCTACAAGTAATAAACGAAACGTAACTCTCTCTCTCTCTATCGTCAGTTTTCCGTTGGAAAACGCTTCGTTTTCCAATGGAAAGCTTCCCAAATTAATGCCAAAATAGTTGTCAGTTGATTGGACAAACCACCAACGCCGACATAAAAACCATTCCCATTCCCATTCGCCATTTTGGAACCGTTCTCAAGAAATTGATGTGACTTGACCCCGGTCCCCAATCTACCTACTCCCAGGGTATCAGGAAGATGCTGAATGAGACTTTGCCGAAACGTCGTGAAAATGATCCTTGTGAGGATCAATATTACATAATACGGAATGAAACTCGTAAAAACAACCCATCATTCGTGATGGAATTGAATCAGATATCATTCACAGGATTTCTACACAATATAACTATTGAAAGAAGCAAATTTTACTTGGATGGAATATTGTCATCCTCACTGGTAAATATCTTGATGTTTCGCCGTAAGACACTTGCCTTGTTGGCTCTTTAGTACTAAATACGGATAACTAATAAGAAAAAACACTCAATTCGTTCATAAAATTCGACTTTTTGTCACGGGATGGGTCAAAGCCACCCATCTCATCGTGACAGTACTTAAATAACATTCATTTGATTATTCGATTGAATCCCAGCCAAAGGAATCTTGTTTAAATTGAATGTTTGGAATACAAACGGAATAAAAAGAATGTTCATAAGGAAAACGATTGTTTCGGGTCGGTTTTTTCTTCCAGTTTGTAACTGAAAGTTACTTTTTTGCATGATTTACACATTCCCACATCTTTTATATCAAGATGAAGAGGTAGAAAGCCAAAATATTTCTTTCCCATAAATCAAACTTTTTGCATACTTTCATTAGGTATTAGTTTCAGATTGATTTGTTCTACTCACCATATCCAAATATGATCGATGCCAAAGCAATTACGTGCCCCATGTCGAATCTAACGAACACGTTGATCTGGAACATTCGTTGCCAAAAATCATATTTATATACGTCCACTTCAAAAACATCACGTAAACATCACATAAAAAAATTTTTCGTATTTCATCCAACTTCTAATATTGAACCATTTTGTTTTTAAGGCCCATTAAATAGTAAATATCAATACATTTCTAGATATTAGTGCTATTTATCAGCAAATTATACTAGTTAGGTACAATGTAGATATTTGAAAATGAGTGAAAACGCTGGTAAATTTTCACATAAACAACTTATGAAACAGAACTTCATGCGTTTTTTGATACTCAGCTTCTAATAGTGCATCTCAAACATATTAATAAATGAGGTTACAACAACTCAACATGCTCATTGAAAATGAGCTTGATTTTTACTATCAGTGTTCTCAAATTCTGAAGCTTTGCTTCCCAATCTTTTAAAAAAATGTTGTTGAAGTAATAACTTCTAATGGAAGGGTAGACACTGACGTTACGTAACTCGTTACGGCATCAGTCCCTTTCTCTCTCGCATACGGCGGCGGCGGGCAGGCTCCTCCTCTCTCACTCTAGCCCAGACGTCGGACACACGCTTTTCTCTCCTCTCTTCGCATGACTGAGTGTTCAGTGCGCGATAGACATACACTGTTGACAGTGACCAGTGACTGTATATCTTCAGCGTCAATTTTAATTAATGTCTGATATCTGGAACATTCCCAGATATTTGGAAATTAGCTAAAGTATGTCCTGTATACAAAAGTGGTTAAAAATCATGTATAAAGAATTACAGATCCTTATCTATTTTATGTATGTTTTCTAAAATGTTGGAGATTATTTTATATGATCGCATATATGCTTCTTTTCAACTACAACTATCTCAACATCAACATGGATTTGTTACTAAGGGTTCTACTGTTACAAATCTAGTCATTATTACTCAATTTATTTCAGAAGCATTAGATAACAATGGCCAAGTTGATGTTATATACGCGGATTTCTCTAAAGCATTTGATAAAATTGATCATGGTGTCTTGCTCAATAAACTGATGAGTTTCGGTTTTTCGAATACTGCCTGTCAGCTGATGCAATCCTATCTGGCATGTGGAAAACAAATCGTGTCCTATAACGGTTAGAAATCTAGAACATATATAGCTTCTTCTGGTGTGCCTCAGGACTCCAACCTAGGTCCTCTTTTGTTTTTATTGTTTATTAATGACTTATGTGAAAGTTTAGCTTGTGAGCAGTTATGCTTTGCGGATGACTTGAAATTATTTCATATAATTAAGGAAGTAGGTGATTGTGTAAATCTTCAATCTCAATTGGACTTTCTTGTTGCTTAGTGTAGCAATAATAAATTGAAACTCAATGTGGAGAAATGTAAAGTAGTGAGTTATAGTCGAAAAAAAGAGGTTTATACATTTCCGTATGTGATACAGGAGTCAAATCTGTTGAGATGTGATGAGACCTAGGGGTAATATTCGATCGTAAATTAACATTTGGTAGACATATTTCACAAAAAGTTTCAGAACCTCTCCGAGCTTATGGTTTCATTGTTAGAAATTGCAGAAACTTTCAAAGCCATAAAGCTGTTGTATTTCACCTACATACATTCGAAGATAGAATATGCAAGTATCGTCCGGTGTCTAATCTATGAGTTTCATAACATAGCCATTGAAAGAGTTCAAAGAAAGTTTTGTAAATTTCTAATTTTCGGAATAGATGGTTCTTACCCTGAGACAGGTATCAGTAATGATGTCGTATATGAACGTTTGGAACTTTTTACTTTAGAGCATAGCATAAAATGTGCGTCGCTCATATTTTTATTCAAGTTAGTGAATGAGAGAGTTGACTGTCCTAAAATTCTTGAACAAATTAACTTCAATGTACCACGGCCAGCTTCACGATCTCAATCCATTTTTAGGCCTCTCAGAGCAAGAACTAACATTATGCTCAATTCCCAATATATGTTAAAAGAACAAATTTCAATATCATACGTTCCCATTGCGATATATTCTCCACTAACCTTAACATTATTAGAATTGCAAACGCGTCCTTGAAATAGGTAATTAGAATTAGTATTTTTTTTGTTTGTTTTATTTTCTGTTGTTTATTGTTGTGAATATGATTTTATATCGTCCTGTAAATGGGTAACTGTTGGACAATGAAGCTATTATTATCTATTTTTTTTTCACCGTAGTGTGCGCTGGTCAGGCCCTATCCCCCGAAGCCCCGATACATTCGGGAGGGCGCGCCAGCATTATCAACCAATGACCACTCCCCACACCGTGGGGTACGTGATCATTGGGTCCGAGAATCATGTGCCCTGAGCAAGCGCAATGAGCCAAGAATGACAGTCTTCTGCATATGTGCGACTAAGATTTCTGCCTTAGTGCGGCAGATTCGAGAGTAGAGAGGACATCATTCCACTAAGGACTCCAATAATCAGAACAACCATCTTGATAGAGTGATCTGGAAAGAGTTCGAAGAGAAAAGAGAAAATTATTATTATTATTATTATTATTTGTATATATTTTTTCTTGGTCAAAAATAATGAACTGAGGTTTGATAAAATTCATTTTATTTACAATTCATCATTACAGCACATGAAATCAATGTCAATTGTTACGAAATTTCATTGAAGCTTCTCATTGACTCCACAACAATCCAATCTACTACTTCAAGTTACAATGAGATCTGTCAACTATCTCCTTCGGGCACTCTACCTGCACAAAGTTGACTTTGGGAACAGGAACTGATTCCATGAACTCAAATCTGAAACGACACCCTTCCTGGAGTTGCCAAGGAAGCTGGGAGCACTCAGCTTCAGTATCGACTCCTCCGTATCTTTTACCCCAGCCATCAGGAGGAGCATTCCACTGGGAAATGCATCCGTTGTTGATTCCCACGCCTGCTCCTGGAAGAGCAAGATCAAACTGGTTGACAGCTGCATCAGCTCCAGTATTGGTCACCTGCACCACCATTTTCTTGTGGGACAGCTCTCCTATGAAGGAAAGAAGTACGCAGCCGCAGCACAGCTGGTAGTCGACCTTCCCTGTGAAAGAGGCGCCTGTGAAGCCGTAGGCAAGGGTTGAGTTCACCACGAAGGGTTGTTGGTTGGAGCACATATAAGAGGGACCACCTCCACAGTTGGACATTGCTCCCGGGTCGAGGACAGTGTCGCCATCGATTGCGCAGGAGGTAACGGGGTCGGCGGAGGTGTTTCTGAGGTTTTCCCTCCAAGAGCATGATGGTTTGCAGCAGTCCCAATATCCTGTAGTGAATCCAGTCCCGCTCATGCCTCCAGGTACGGGAATGAGGTCTGGGGAGTATTCCCCGGTGCTTAAAGCAACTGAAAAATAATAGCAGAAGGTGTCATCATCCGAAGCCCGATTAGTTCATTGATTTGATCGCTGCTGGTGGATTTGGGAAATATAACAAAAAAAGCGAGTGTGCTTTAGACAACAATGACTATAAAGAAATACTATTTATTGACTTTCGAGTTTTCGGAATGTTTTATTTCCTTTTTCAAGAATATATAAGATTAAAAACTGGATGCAAACAATGAATTGACAGAACTCACCAAAATGATGTTTCAAAATAATATGGCATGAATTTACAAACATAAAGAACGATGAAAGGTGAAAAATTTTGACAAATGTTGAATAATATGCTATATCATCAGAGAAAATGGATCTGAATACAATTTTGATCTATACAGGGTGTCCCATATAAAACTGCGCGGGCAAATATCTAAACAATTAAAAAGAATATTCATATTTCGTGAAAGCAGATGATTTTTGTGTCAAAGGGTCCTCTTATTTACGTAGAGATCCAGCACTAGGCGTCAATCGTTAGGGCGTCGCAACACCGACGCCATTTTTTTTTAATATAACCCAGTATTTTCAATTGGTTTTTGAATTCTGCATTGAATTCTGAATTCAGCTATATAGCACACTTGTAGTTTTCCTTGAATACTGATGAAAAAAGGAAATTTCATTGCTTATTATGAATTGGGCCATGAATAAGTCAAAATGAAAGCAATAATGTATTCATCGATCTGTCAGAAGACCTGTCGGATTTGATGACAGTGTATTCAGTTTTGTGTTGGTTTTTCGTAAAATTGAAAAATGGTTCAATTTTCAAATGCAGAAAAGTTGGATATGATATGTATTTATGGCGAAGCAAGAAGGAATTCAAAAGAAGCAATGGGACACCCTGTATAGAGTTATCATGAATGTAATTCCCAGAAAAAATATTTTCAATTATCAGTTGTGAATTCAATTGAGATAATTTAGGAGGTAATTATTTTTATTATTTAATCGAAAGTTGAAACGTAATTTTAATTTCACGGGACATGAATGTGAAGGAGAGTGAACAAAGAAGTAGAAGATTATACAAAGAACTAAAAATCAATACTGCCGTTTTATTAAATGGAAAAATGGAAGATATTTATATTTTTAGGGCAGGTTAATTTTTAGGAAAGAACGTTTTTGGCTTTCTACTTTTCCACCTTTTTTTGAATTGATCGCTTCCTTCCTTTCTTTGGTACATTCCCACATTTTTTATAACAAGATGGAGAAGTGGAAGTCAAAAACGTTTTTTCCAAAAATAGGTACTAAGTAAAGTTTTGATTCTTGCAATCACTTACCACAGGCAAATAAAATGAGTGCTAAAGCGGTTTCCATGTTGAACGCGTCAGATAAGACTTCTAGAAAATTCGTTCGTGATTCCTTTTTATCTGTATCCACTTCAGAAAACTCAAGAAAAGAACTAATACAATAATCCGACGAATTTTTCCATGGCTTATATTTTATCAGAGTACAGGGTCGAAATTGATTATCTGGTCCATACGATACTGAAAATGTCGATGCTGTTCAAACAAGATACACTACGGTTAAACTAGAATAAGGATTGTTTCTGAAGGAAAACGAAGATTTTCTTCAAGCGTAAACTGCAGTTTATGCTTGAAGAAGCTATTGTATACAGAAACACGTGTCGCGGTTTTTGTAAAACCCTTATTGGGAAAATCATACAAATAAACTGTATTGATTAGTTGTTTAATATGGATTTTCATCAAGTATCGGCCAGTTCTATTCAATTATTCTAATGAATGGCCAACTGGATTTGAATAGATCACCATTATTGAACTTGTTTTCTTAAAAACCGAGAAAGAATTACTATTGATGTGAGGTAATATGCTTCAGGTGATCATACAGGTACCTTAGGTAGAGGTATAGGTAATTTTTTGTAGGTATTCTCAATTATGGTAAACTATGAGTAAACTAAGATCATTCTTCATCTTCAAGTTGAGTTAGATAATACTTGATGAAGCTAATAGAACAGCTGTCTTTTCAAAAATTGGAACTATCCTCAAAACTCCTTTCTCACTTCAATAAATGTTTGAAGGATACCTGTTGCTCTCAGTAACGTCCCTAAGAAAATGTTTCTCGATATCGTATCTTTTTTCAGTGGAATGTAACAAGCCTATAGACCAGGAATTCAATTCCTGCCATTTTGTGTTGTTGACAATGTTGTGAGCTACCAGGAAAAAAATTGAAAGTACTGGTATTCATACATATTCTTCCTATAGACAACAAACAGGCATGATGACGTTGCTTGTGACGTCACGTTCGAGTAGACTACATTCAAACACTAGGAGTGAAGTAACTTGGCTTGAAATCTCTTGATGTTTTTTGTTCAATTGTTCTATTATTTTACTGTAATTTCATTTCAGAGTTTTTTTGCTTGATATAATTGTTATTTTCAGCTATTCTTTTCAATTTTCATTTGTATTGGTTCCTTCAACAGAAAAACCAATTTATTAAATAAACTATGAAATAATAACACTTCCAAAATACAAATCATGAAATTGGCGCTCCAGGGCGAATTCATTGATTCCAGTGGCGCGTTTGCTTTTTCAGCTGCAGGCAAACCCAGAAAAACATGCAGCACCACATCATCTGAAGATCTGGATCTGCCAATGTCCTCTCACTCATAAAACAAATGTAGGGTGTCTCCAGAGGCTCCAATAAATTCAATACATCGCCAGAACACTTCGTGACACGACTATCGTCAAATTTAAACCAGTCCGTTTACCAGATTCAACGCCAGAACCACAGGGAACAATGACTGAATGAAGATTATAAAAGTGGTCTGCTAGATTGATGTGTTTATTTTTTTCGAACCTTCGTGAAAGTTTGGTGCTTCCGTCAAAGGAGGAGCCATGTTTGAAGATCATTAGTGTTATTATTAGATTGACTGACAATAATAGACAATGGATGTTCGAACTAATGGCATTCATCATGAAACATTGTCAATCACCTTCACACAAACTTATCTTTTATTTTGTCTTCTTTCGTTGTTCTTTTTTCTATATAACTTTTTATAAAAACTTGAAACATTCAATCATAGAAGGATGTGTATTGATGCTAATACTTTGTTACGGTTTCAAAATCACTACCTCAATTTTAAGTAAACCTCTAGTAGATTTTATAATGGAGAAAGGAAAAGTATATAAAATTCCACATAGTTCATAGTTTACATGAAATATAACAAAAATTATTTATTTCGTATTACGATTTATTATGACCCTGTATATTTCAGGAATATGAAACGAGTCTTCGTATCTTTGCTGGAATCGGCAGATTCACAAAGTTTATTTACAAGATATGGTTTTTTTCTACAATAATTCAGAAAGAAAATGTCTCTTCCTTCTTTTATTGGTTTTGGAGCAGACACGGGAAGAACAACTGATTTATCTCAAGGAGATAATCAATTATCTACTGTCGTAGGATTTATGTAGGAATTACTCGAAACTTTCAAATTGAAGTTTACTTTGTCGAAGAACTCGGACATCTCAAAAGCCACATTTCATCTCAGGTACGAACAAACTTTTTGTGTTTTATTGATACGACCTTCTTGCTTGCAAGAAATTATGTTCAGACATGTATGAATTTTTAGGCCTTCATTTTCCATTTGCTTGTTCGTTGCTAACTGAACATCTCCCCAACTGATCAATCTCCCCAACTTTGAGAATAGCGGTTGGCGAATCTCCACTCCACTGTTAGTAGCGACATAAGAGCGGTTGATTGTAAGCCTCATGTCTCAAAGAACGTAATATTATTCCTTTTTATCGTTCATTTGGGTCTGAACGGGACGCATTAACATCACAGGAAGAGCACTACCAAAACTGTCAGCGCTACTGCGTAACCCACTACATCTAGCTCTAAAGTACCTACTTTTACTTAGTATCAATCATATTAGTATAGTGTATTGTGTTGAAATTTTAGAACCTTTGCTACCTTTGAGCAACTGTAAATCGATGGTATGCATACTAGAGGGTAGATAATTCATCAGTTGAATTAGACAACGAGGAAATCATTGTCACAAAATCCATTTCAATATCATTTATTTTTCCTTGTGAATAAATCAAATTTTGTAGATTGGTCACAGAAGTTAGAACTGGCCATCTTCGTTACAATTTTTCTTCACCTTCTATTATTGTTAAAAAAATAACTGTCTTTCTTTATATTTGCCAACGCTCTCTTTCCCATAATAATCATCAATAAAATATTCGCAAATTAATTTACTCCTTTCTTCTTTCTCTATACCCACTCCCGTCTCCACTGTTGGAAAGCTGGTGGGGCATTTGTGGAGGTAATAACTTCCATGAGTTAGGACACCACTTTTGGTGTTTAGTGGAAGAACATTTCAATGGAGTTATTGTATCCAAATTAAATGAACTCCTCCCTACATTCCTGTTCATTAGCTCACAAGAATGAAGTGTACCATTCATGTGAGAAATAGAGGCTTATTATTATCATTTTTATCTCAATAACAGACAGTGAGACTGACATACATTTTTTGGCTACTTGTTTATTGTTTATAATTTTTTTTGTCAAAATTTAATTAACGAACATATGACAAAATCTATTTTGACTCCACAACTATCCAAGCTACTACTTCAAGTTGCAATGACTTATGTCAACGAGCTCCTTTGGGCACTCTACCTGCACAAAGGTGACATTGGGAACAGGAACTGATTCCATGAACTCAAATCTGAAACGACACCCATCCTGGAGCTGCCAAGGAAGCTGGTCACACTCAGCTTCAGTATCGACTCCTCCGTATCTTTTACCCCAGCCATCAGGAGGAGCGTTCCACTGAGAAATGCATCCGTTGTTGATTCCCACGCCCGCTCCTGGAAAAGCAAGATCAAACTGGTTGACAACCAAGTCGGCTCCAGTATTGGTTATCTGCACCAGCATTTTCTTGTGGGACAGCGCTCCTATGAAGGAAAGAAGAACGCAGCCGCAGCACAGTTTGTAGTCTGCCTTCCCTGTGAAAGATGCCGCTGTAAATCCGTAGGCAAGGGTTGAGTTCACCACGAAGGGTTGTTGGTTGGTACACATATAAGAGGGACCACCTCCGCAGTTGGACATTGCTTCCGGGTCGATGACAGTGTCGCCATCAATTGCGCAGGAGGTAACAGGGTCGGCGGAGGTGTTCCTGAGGTTGCCCCTCCAAGAGCATGATGGTTTGCAGCAGTCCCAATATCCTGTGGTGATGCCAGTTCCGCTTAAGCCTCCTGGTACAGGAATGATGTCTGGGGAGTATTCCCCGGTGCTTGAAGCAACTGAAAAAATTATAAGAGAAGGTGTTGTAATCCGAAGCCCAAATAGTTCACAAATTTTACCGATGCCGGTTAATTTCACAAATATAACAAAAAAACTGGATCGAAGCGCGAAAAGAATAGAAATCCAAACATTCACCCCTCTCAAAGGTCCGGTAAAGCAGAATCTGGCAAATATATGTAACTGTGTATGTCGTAAAGTAACTACTTCCCGAGCTACATATCACACATTCGAACGATCTACTACAATGATGTTTTGGAGAATTACTCTTCGGTGCAAGACAGATTTGACTAAGACAGCAGGTCGCCCTAAACTCAACTGATTTCAGTGAGGTTTTGCTGTTGAAGCAGCAGCTGCAACAATGTTTTGCTTGAAGAATCGTCCAGAAATATTTGTTAAATTCAATGTCCTCGTGACATTGAACCAAACCAGTTTGATCTTCTTCTTGAAGATGATCACTTGGTGATCCAAACACGTGTCGAGGTGTTGAAATAACGGTTTGGTGTTGGAGAAGAAACTCCAGTAGTATTCATTACTACACCCTGTCCCTGTTGGAAGACGCTGTGCATTCGAATTGAAAAGGGGATTTTTTTCAAAAGAGATTAGGATGGAAAAAGTTTCCCTCATTTTTCGTATGAGGATGAATGAATACAAAACCATAATGAAGTTTTTTTCTCAAGTATGGATAGTTGTTTTCGTTGAAGAAATGTGTAATTTATATCAAAAACAAACAGCTGTTCAACGGAAAAACATATTTTTCAACATGATTCAGAACGATGGAAAAAATATTACGGAGAATTCATACGGGGGTATTTACTGGACAGCGATGTGAAGAAGAATGAACAGAGAAACAGAAGAATCATAAAAGAAATCAAAAATCAATACTGTCATTTTTCTAGATGAAAATAACGATGAATAACTTCAATTCAAATGTTCTAGAAATTTCATTCGAGGAATATCTTCCTTTCTGAACAAAAGTTTATTGAATATGTTTACTATTTCAATGAGCATGGAAGCAATTAAGACTCTAATCCAGTCTTGCTTGCCCCAAAATTTTCAATACCTCAGCCTCTAATTAAAATTGTGTTACTTCTATGAGTACCAAGTACTAAGCACGTTTTTTATTCTTATAAAAACTTACCGCAGGCCAATAAAATGAGTGCTAAAGCAGTTTCCATGTTGAACTCGTCAGATATGACTTCTAGAAAATTCGTTCGTGATATCTTTTTATCTATATCCACTTGAGAAAACTCAAGAAAAGAACAAATAAAATAATCAGGTGAATTTTTTGCGTAGCTTATATACAGGGTCGAAGTTGATTATCTGGTCTATCCGATAATGAAAATTTCGATGTAGTTAGAATCTTCGTAAATTTACGATTTTTCAGAAAAGAATTGATTCAATGTTTATTGTACCTTCCTATTGATTCAGATACTCTATTTGATTGAAGTTTCCGAAAGTTTGAAGTGAAACTAGCCTCAAAACTCCTCCACTTCCAAAAAGGATGGAAGGATACCTGTTGCCTTCAGTTATGTCCCTTATGAAATGTTCCTCAATATCGTAACAAGCCTATCGACCAGGAAGTTTAGTTCTACCGTTTTGTGTTGTTGGCATGTTGTGAGTTATCAGGAAAGAAATTGGAAATACTGGTATCCACACATATTCTTCCTGTAGACAACAAATAAGCATGACGACATGTTTTGAAACACTGTTCTGTAATGTTGGGAAATATAACTACAACGTCATGTTCAGAATGGATACATTTCAATTTATGAGTTCAAAATTCACAACAAAACACTCCGAAGTATCATAGCGTCGCTTGTGATGTCACGTTCGAGTAAACTGCATTTAAACACTAGAAGCCATTTCAGAAATATGAAGTGACTATTCATGTGAGAAATAGAGGCGATTATTATGATTATTATCTCAATAACAGACAGACAGACTGACATACATTTCCAGTACACTACAATCTCAATAACAGACAGACAGGCGGGCATATATTTTTATATTAGTTGCTTCCCATTTGTATACATTTTTTCATGGCAGAAAAAGAATGAACCAAGGTTTGATAAACTCCATTTTATTTACAATTCATCATTAAAACACATGAGATAAATGTCAACTGTTACCAAATTCCATTGAAGCTTCTCATCGACTCCACAACAATCCAAGCTACTACTTCAAGTTACAATGAGATCTGTCGACGATCTCTTTCGGGCACTCTACCTGCACAAAGTTGACACTGGGATTAGAAACTGATTCCATGAACTCAAATCTGAAGCGACAGCCATCCTGGAGCTGCCGAGGAAGCTGGTCACACTCAGCTTCAGTATCGACTCCTCCGTATCTTTTACCCCAGCCATCAGGAGGAGCATTCCACTGGGAAATGCATCCGTTGTTGATTCCCACTCCTCCTCCTGGAAGAGCAAGATCGAACTGGTTGGCAACAGCGTCGGCTCCAGTATTGGTCACCTGCACTACCATTTTCTTGTGGGATAGCGCTCCTGTGAAGGAAAGAAGTACGCAGCCGCAGCACAGCTGGTAGTCGGCCTTCCCTGTAAAAGAGGCACCTGCGAATCCGTAGGCGAGGGTTGAGTTCACCACGAAGGGTTGTTGGTTGGAGCACATATAAGAGGGACCACCTCCGCAGTTGGACATTGCTTCCGGGTCGATGACAGTGTCGCCATCGATTGCGCAGGAGGTAACAGGGTCGGCGGAGGTGTTCCTGAGGTTGCCCCTCCAAGAGCATGATGGCTTGCAGCAGTCCCAATATCTTGTAGTGATGCCAGTCCCGCTCAAGCCTCCGGGTACGGGAATGATGTCTGGGGAGTCTTCCCCGGTGCTTGAAGCAACTGAAAAATAATAGCAGGTTTCATAATCCTGCCCAAATAGTTCACAAAGTTCACCGCTGCTGATAAATTTCGCGAATATATAAAAAAAATTGGAGTGAAGCACGAACAAAATAGAAATCCAAACATACACCTCTCTCAAAGGTTCTATAAAGCAGAACCTGGCAAATATACGTCGTAAAGTAATTATACTTTCCTGGCTAAAACCTTGGGAAATTGAATTATGTCACACATTCAAACCATCTACTACAAACACGTTTTGGACAATTACTCTTCAGGGCAAGACAGATCTAGGCAAGACAGCAGGTCGCCCCAGTAGACGAAAAAGAAGCATCTGCAAGATGTTTTCCGCGAGGAAACACAAATGTATGTCAAATATTATTCAGAGTCCTGGTGATATTAATAATATTGGCAGTACTATAAAATTAAAATGTACATTCAAATTGAAAAGGGAATATTTTTCAAGAGAGATTAGTTTCTATAGGGAAAAAACTTTCCCTCATTTTCGGTACGAAGATGGAGAAATAGAAAGCCATATATTATATTAAAAACGGACAATTGGTTAACGGTTTTTTTCAACAGGATTCAGAGTATGGAAAAAATGTCGAGAATAATTTATGGGGATGTATTTACTGGACATGGATGTGAAGAAGAATGAACAAGAACAATTATACAAGGGACCAAAAATCAATACTGCCGTTTTTATAAATGAAAATATCGATGATAATTTCAATTCAGTGTTCTAGCAATTTCAGTTGTCTGAACAGAAGTTTTATTGAATATGTTTACTTTTTCCTTGAAGATGAAAGCAATCAAGATTCTGATTCAGTCTTGTTTGCCCTAAACTTTCCTATATCTCAGCCTCGAATAAAAATTATGTTGCTACAGTGGATACTTATAAAAGTACTAAGCAAAGTTTTGATTCATAAAATCACTCACCACAAGCAAATAAAATGAATGCCAAAGCAGTTACCATGTTGAACGTGACAGATATGACTTCTAGAAAACCGGTTCGTGATTACTTTTTATCTGTAACCACTTGAGAAAACTCAAAAAAAGAAAAAATAATCTAGCAAATTTGTGCGTAGGAGTACAGGGTCGAAATTGTTTATCTAGCTCATCCTATAACGAAAATTTCGATGATATACAAACATGATACTCGTACTACGGGTAAATTAGAATGAGGAATATTTCTGAAAGAAGAGTATTTTTCATTTGAAGTCAAGTTAGATCATGCCTGATGAAACTAATGGAACAGCAGACATCTTGATAAAGCTACAATTTTGCAAAAAGGCATCGATTCAATGTTTTTTGTACTTTTGTATGAACCCAGATACACTCTTTGATTTCATTTTAAAAAAGTTTGAAGTGAAACTAGCCTCAAAACATCTTTCACACTTCAACACAAGACGCAAGACGAGATTCAACGGGAATATTGCCCAGTACTTAGCTTTACTTTCGTGGAACATCACTTAGGTATAGTGATGTTCCACATGATATAGGTGAATATATAAGTTGATTATAAACCAGTATTATCTTGGTTGAAGATAAAATTTTGAGGTTAGGTTTCATCTCTCGTATCTTTCACCCTTGTTATTTATTTATTCATTTATAATAAATTGAACAGGCGAAGGCCTATTATTGAGAGTATACAGTAATAGAATTGGGTGCATTGAGGCGGAATGTGACATTTGATCTAGACATATATCGGGGGACATCAAAATTAATTTGGGACACTAGACTTGGTGAGTCTATGGCACCATTAACCAGTTTATAGCTGTAAATGAGATCCGCAATTTCTCGTCTTTTTCTCAATGTTACAAAATTAAATTCATTCAGAAGACAAATGTATTCATAATTTCTAACCGGATAGTTTCCATGTTTCTTACAATATACAATCTTGAGTAATTTCTTCTGAACACCTCTCAAAGCATCGAAGTATTTTGTTTGATTATCCAGAAAGTTTGACTCTTTCAGATTGTGAATCAAAACGTTTCTTGACTTCCTTGCTCTTTGTTGAATTTCATTATACAATGTTTACGTATTAAGGGCATTTCCATTCCCAATCGTTCCAAATGTGTTTAAAGAAAATGGAGAAGTAGAAATCCAAAACGTTTCTTCTGAAAACTAACCTCTCTTAAAAAATATATCCCTTTCGAGTTAGAAATAGTTGAATTCACAGATGGTTTTTGCTGCCTATGTTTTGCTTTCATTACTAATGAATTTGGCCGTCAGAAATGATTCTTCAATTTTATTCGCTTAATATAATGTCGGCAGTTTTTATAAATGTTCATCAGAATTTCAACTCTTAAGTCTCATGGTTAGTGGCTCAACCTATATGTATTCCGTACTGTCTGCTCTGTGTATATGAAATCTTGCGTTGATTTGACCCGCAAACCCCGTTATAAATAACATGTAAGATCTCATTATGGTCAACAAGCCAGTATATTTCTGTCGCTTTTACTGTTGACACACAATTAATAACATCATGGCTTCTACATATGTTTTCCGTTCTCCATTGAACGACAAAGTATGTGCTCCTGACAAACCGTTGATGTGCACTTGGGTCAAAAATGCTGATAAAGATTCTTCGCCACACACGACGCAAGATTGGTGAGTCCTGATGAACTTTATTGAAAACATGTAATGTAAACAAATAACTGGTACGAATGTTAGATTAGAAAAACAACAACAAAGTCGCGTAAATATTTGGACAATTTTTATTGGTCACTATTTATTCTTACTGAAGAAAAGAGAAATGAAACTTTCTATATTTTAACCGTGGCAATTGCTTCCATTTATTATTGAATATCGAATCATCCCAAACAAATCTCATTTCTGAAAATTTGGTCTTTCAGTTTGACGAAAGAAAGGGAATAAAAATCAACGATTATGTCCTAAATGGTTCACAATCTTGATATATTTCCAAAAGGACTCCAGTTTCTCCAGACCTCATTCTCGTATATTTCCTTTCTCTGGAGACATGGAGGATGGGTCTTCTACAAGAAAGCATTCACACTGAAAGAAAATAAGCACCTATTGGAGATACTTCATCTTCAGCAAAACAAAAATATTTATTCACGATACATGTTTTGCCAACCAAGTTTGCATAATGAAGGTCATCAAATGAAGGTTATAATATACGTGTTACTAATGCATTCTCAATATTGTTTTTGTTATGTCGTTACTGAATGTTACTTCCTATTTATATACTGATGACTAACTGTTATGATACCTATCATCTGCTAGTTTTCTACCTGTAATCATCACGTGAAGGAGTGAACAAGAACTCTTGGAAATAGGACCTTTGCCACTGTTCATTGACCTCAATCCACATTTTTCGATTTCTAAACTATCGAAAGCATCTGATAACCTGTTGTCAACCGTTCTCAACAATTTCAAGCACTTCTAATTTATTCTGTGGCCGGTATTGATAGCTTGCTGAGCAACACTGAACTCCTTGGGCTATGAGTCCGAATATGTGGAATATGTTCCTTGTAGCAAGTTATCACACTGAGTTCAGTTTGACCAACATACTTTTTATCGCAACCTGATAGCTTATTTCGTGAATCCAAACTTTTTCTTTTCGTCGTTTTGTCCATGGGGGTTGCCCAACACTTGTCCGAGGTACGAGCAGTTTTGAAGGCAACTTTTATGTTCAATTTTGAAAAAGTACGAGTACGAGGGGGGTCTCAGAAGTATCCGACCCAACAAAAAAAACACAAAAATCTCCTTGCAGCTCTATGCACTTTTCCCAGCGACGTTCAAAAACTGATGCCGTGACTTTGCCTGCATATGAAACGGTCTTTGCCTTCTTTGGAGCTGATTCTCTCTTTTGAATCCACTGTTTTGATTGTTCTTTTGTCTCGGGTCTAAACTAATGGACCCATGTTTCAAACATGGTTATGAAACGACGCAAGAATTCTGCTTAGTTGCTGTGAAACTCAGCTAAACACTCAATTGGATTATTTTCACGACAATGTTTCTGCTCGTGTGTGAGCAAAAGCGGCACCTTTTTTGCACACAGCTTCCTCACGTCCAGATTTTTGAAATGCCTACTAAGTCTGCTAGCTCCTCACTTCAATAGGTTGACCACTGCGATGCTCGTCTTGGAAGTTCGTACGACCTCGTTAAAACTCTACTACCCTCCACTACACTTTTTTTGTATCTAACGTAGACGTTAGTTACAAATAAAAGTGGTAAAAAACATAGAAATTTTTAATTCTCTTTTCTTCAATATGACGAATTTTCTTAATTTTTACAAATCCACCGAAAGCGTTCACTATTGATGGCTACCAAACAAATATTAAACAACGCAGCGTCTTCAAATTCGGAACAAATACTTTTTATATTGTGTACTTTCTAATACAGTAATATTTTCCAAACAACTACCGCCATCTCTAGGTCAGGCAGGGTACTTCTCAGACCATCCTGGTATAGTCTATCCATTCCCAATTGGAACGGCAATAAAAATAAGAGCACTACGATGGGCAAATGGGAAATGTATATACTACCAGTGCTTTTTTGTTCAAAGCGTCCCTGGTACATTCATAAATATTTCTGGCCTGTGGCCCCTAGTCGCCCAGATAGTTAGTAAACGTAAGGAGTTGTAGTTGAGTAGTGTAGTTGAGGAGTAAAGGCTCGGCTCGCTGGACTGGCTGAATACTAATTTTTTGTCCGTTTCACAATATTTCTTTATCAGTACCGTGTGTTCGTGGGGTTATGTGAGGTAGTGAGTGGTTTTGCAAACCGATTTTTGAAAACTTCTTCTAGAGATCAATTACCCTAACACCAAACTGATATTTTTGCACTCGACGCGCGTTTCGCTAACAAGGTTAGCATCTTCAGGAGAAGCAAATTGATACTGAATGTAAAGACAAGGGTTAGCTGTTTAGATACCTAAAGTTTTTTTGGTCCGATGCGGACTTTGTTTGTTAAATGATGATTATCCTAATTGATTTTTCGGTAATTGACTAGTGGAACCACTAACTGCAAATTAATTTGTCAACAATGCTGTAGTGCTTGACAATATAAGGCGAGTGGTGAATGAAGTAGGTAATAGTGATGTGTGGAAGAACTGTGTGGCCCACGTTATAAAAGAAGAGAACAAATATTATGTGCAAAGTTCCATAAATCCGATCGTTATTCAACCCGATGATGATTCCACCTCATCCGAATATAGTGAAGAAGAATTTTGATTTTTCTAGCAATTTTATTGGCCTCTATTATTTTGTTTGACGAGAATTCGGTGTGATTATTTGTGTATTTGTATTTTAGAGTTTTCGACGCGGAAATCAACTACCTTGAATTTCGAAGTTTTTCATAATTACCCATGGTGGAAAAATTCAGTTGAGATAACTTTTTCACGGGGTGATCAATTGCTATGATTGTGAGAATAAGTAACTGAAAAACTACCACTGAAAAATAATATGCCGACGCCTATGTCGAGGCGGGAATTCCTTCTCTGTGCTGTTCCAATTCGTATTGGAAATACTATACTAAACAACGCAACATCTTCAAACTTGAAACATATGCTCTATATATTGTGTACTTTCTAGTACAGTGATATTTTCCAAACAACTACCCCCGTTTCTAGGTCAGACAGGGTACTTCTGGAACCACCCTGGTAATCCGCTGGTATATTTTGGTTCATAAAGACGAATTTATATTTGTTTGATATTAAGTTGTTGGTGAGCCCAAATGGATATAAAAGCTCTTATTCAGTTGTAGCTGATTATGCTAACTCAACAAGATCATGAACAGATACTGAAAGATTTTCTTCACTGACGTGAAGATGGTATTTCGGGCCGTAGGCTGTGAAGAAAACCAACACACACAGACAGGTAGGTACCTGAACGAAAATTCTAACCACCAGCCACAACAAACGAGAGGGGGTGATCAAATCGTTGGTTGAGAGGGCACAACGTATCTGTTAACCTGAGAGTCTTCCTGAGAAACTCAATCACCTGAGAAATGCCTTCAAATGAAATGACTACATCGAAGTAGAAATCAAGCGGTCCATACCACCCAGGAGAGTAATCCCAACAAGGTTGGGATTGGGAGGACCCGATTGGGAGAATTTCAGAGAAACACGACGTGCAACCAATATTTAGGCTAACGAAAACTGTCAGACAGTGTCTAAGGTTAGCTAAGCCCTCCAGCGAGCTTTTAGCAATACCCGGGATATACCGGATTCCTTGTAGCTGCGGGTGGCTCTACATTGGAACCACGAAAAAGTTTTCAGCATACATTTCTATTATCACTGTTGTATCACATGATATTTCGCAGGAAACGGACCACTCCAAAACTTGCTCCAAATGCACTTGCCACCATTGGACAGACCCCCATGATCAAGCTCAACAAAATTCCCCAGTCTGCTGGATTGAAATGTGATGTCTGTAAGTATGATTGTGTTGAAGCTACAACTGTTGGACGGGTGTTTCCGAAATGTCTTCAGTCGGTACGTAAGTTTCACCAATATTTCAGATGTTAAATGTGAATTTTTCAATCCTGGTGGATCAGTGAAAGATCGTATGGCTTTACGAATTGTTGAAGATGCGGAAAAGCAAGGTATTTTGAAGCCTGGCTCCACCATTATCGAGCCTTCTTCAGGAAATACTGGAGTTGGATTAGCAATGGTAGCAGCTATCAAAGGTAAATGATGATAATAGTTATAACTGATTTTATTGACAGGGTACAACAGGTGTACACGAACTAGAAATGTATGAAGAAACACATGACATTGTCTTTTTCTTGTTAAAAGGCGCAATCAGAATCTGCTTTTTCCAGATCAGCACGATCCTGGCTCAAATCAACTTTAAGGAAAATAAGTTCGCTGGAAAGTTAAGTATTTTTAAGCTTTTTCGGAATTTTGTAAGCGATAGTACAATACAATACAATACAAATATCTTTATTGCTTAAAATGATAACTTCACAATGATATTGGAGTCGTCAATGGTAAAAAATATGAAATGTATATAAACATTAGTACAACAGTATTACAAAATTCAATGAATCAGAAATGTTATTATAGTGTCGGGAGATACTATTCGAGATATTATAGGATAGGCTAAATGACATTTATATCTGGTTATTTTCACGTGGAATAAAAAGGTATTCATATAATACCCACACGAAAGTTTCCTTGAATTTCTATTCAAAATGTATCTTATTCAAATTTATTTTTTCAAGTTGTTATATCCCCACTTCAAAATTAGCGAAATACGAAACCTTAAGGGTTGATCAAGATTTTTCGTGCGTTCAGTTAGTTTGAGAACATTGTCTTTGCTGCATAGCAACAATTTCAAAGGAAATAATAGTTTAACAATTTCCAGATATTCTTTTTCATTTTCTAGATATGTTTTGTTAAGTTCGTGAACTATTTTCATTTTATTTTTCGGATAGCTCTTGAAATGATCTAAAATAGTCAAATGCTTTGAGTAGTGAAGAAGTCTTCATAAATTAGACGATAATTATCAACTAAAATATCTTATCGTGTTCCAGAAAAAAATCTTTCACGAAACTTTGATGCTTGATTTTGATGATAGATTTGAAAATTATTCTTTTTCCGATTGGCATCAAACGTCATCATCGGTCATAGAAATGATATTTTTGATGCCTAGGTATTGAAATTTCTATGGATTGAAAATGATTTTAATGCCTAGACATAGGGGTTGAAAATATTTTTCAAATGCCCAGATGTTATTTTTTTCAATCTTGCACTGCATAAAAACTCGATTAGAAAATTATTGAAATACAGAAAACAAAGTTACTGTAAGTATATTTTTGTGGAAAATATAAATAAAGGCAGATACTCATAGAAAGGCCGACAAAATTCAGAATTTCATTATAAATTCAACTCTATTGCTTATTAAACTTAATCACAGAACATAACATAGTACATAACACAGAACTCAACAAAAATGTAAGTTAAGTTGTGATATTTATCGTGATGTGCGAACTATTTTTGGGCATCACTCCACTGGCTCAATAATCTGTTTTGCCTTTTTAATCATGGTATGATTATTTTTATTATTTTGTAAAGTACTGCCTCAACCAACAGTATTTTGTTTTTTGATACCCGAAAAATTTTGTTCACTAACATTTGTTTTTACAGCTGTAGAGTATCAATATACCCTTTGGCTATTGTTGGTGATCTCCAACCCCCATGTCTTTTCAACGTGGTTATATCTGCCTCAGAGTCCACTAACAACGTAGTAGATCTACAAAAATGCCCAGTAAATGCGTGTGGGTATGGTAATTTTGAAATTATGCAACTTATTTGTAATTTTTCCAAATATATGGATACCAAGCCGTTTTTTGTGTGCCTTACTATTAGTATATTCAAGAATACTTATGTCAAAGTGATCTTCATGGAAATAAAGTTGAGCACTGGGCAATATTCTCGTTGAATCACGTTTTGCAAATTTGAGCCACATATTTTCTGTTGTTTTTTTGTACGAAACGAGCACGAATAATTTGTTCAGAGTTTTTATTGATGTATTAGTACACTGAGGGGCTGGACGCCACTGATACACGTTTGAATTCATATTTAATGAGAGTTATCACCAAATTTATTGAAGAGCTGCTAGTGCTCACATGTAGTCTACTCGAACGTGACGTCACAAGCGACGCCATGTCACAGTATTCATTTTATACCTAACTTTTATTTTCTGCAGATATATGATATACGTTGTAATTATACTATACTTCCCAATATTATAGAACGGTATTTCAAAATCTGTCATCATGTTCATTGTAGTTTTTGGGGAATTGGACTTTCATAAAATCATTCTCCCTATACATGAAAATGCATGCATTAAAACAAAATGATATGGGGATTTTCACAACATATTAGTACCGATAATTTTTGATTGTTCGATTATTTTTCAAGGCTACAGGTGTATCATTTGCATCGCTGAAAAAATATCTCTGGAGAAGGAATACGTCATGAGAGCTCTTGGTGCCGAAGTTGTACGAACACCATCGTCAGCGAACTCATTTTCACCCGATGGTATGTTTGGAATGGTCCACAGACTCAGTAAACAGATACCCAATGCAGTAATTTTTGATCAGGTACACCTAACGAATCTAGACATAGACACTTATGTTATGTTACTAGAAACCACGAATTTTGCACATTTGATGTTATATCAATCGTTCAGAGATTGAGAAATCATTTATAAGTGGGAAAGTTTCCTCTCAATGAAAAAGTTCATTTGATTCTAGAAAAATATTCCATTTAGACAATGATAATTGGAAAATTATACTTCGCTATAAATTGTGCCGAAACATTGTTGCTTGATGTGGTTATCTTCAATCTTGCCTCACTGTACCCACCGCCATCTGGCCAGAGTTTTCAACTCATGGCTGGACGCAGAGCAGCCGATTCCGGATTGGTTTGTCGAGGGGCGGACCGTTCTCATCCCCAAAAGCGGAGATTTGTCGATTCCTAAGAATTACAGACCGTGTTATAAGTTGTTTACAAGCATCTTATACACACGAATACTCACCGCAGTTGATCGAGTGTTCGAACGGATATATAAGCAGAGAGGGTCGAAGAGAGGAGTCGCTGGATGTAAAGAGAACCTGCTCATCGATAGATGTGTAACGCAGAACTCGATACAATATAAGCGTAACCTCTCTATGGCCTGGATCAATAACCATAAGGCATTTGATACAATTTCGCATGAGCTCATCTTGCATTTGCTCAGATGCCTTGCGGTACCTGACAAAATAGTGGGATGCATTGAACAACTGATACCACTTTGGCGAACTCGCTTTACCATAACATCTGGTCAAGCAAGAGTCCAAAAAGGGTGGGTCACTTTCAGAAGGGGTATATCAGGGTGATTCCCTCAGTCCCCTTCTGTTCTGCATCTCACTATTGCCATTATCCGTTGCGCTCAGAAACACTCGAGGGTATAACTGTGGCACCCCAGAAAACCGGAGGCACAAGGTCACCCATTTGTTTTATATGAATGATCTTAAACTTTATGCCTCTGGAGAGAAGGATCTCCATCAGTCCTTGAGGGTGGTGGAAGAGTATACGAATGCTATCGGTATGAAATTCGGGATAGACAAATGTGCAATGGTCCATCTCAAAAGAGGACGATGCGGGACTACGGAGAGGATGTGCAGCTCGTAGATGGAAGCATCTTACAACATTTGGATGCCGGAGAGACGTATACTTAACTTGGGGTGGAACAACGCCACTCACAAGAGGTAACAGCAGTGAAAAACTCTCTCCACGGCAAGTATCAGCACAAACTTCGACAGATCTGGTCATCGGAACTGTCGGGGAAGAACAAAGTTGCTGCAAGAAATATGCTTGCCGTTCCAATCTTACTCTACTCGTTTGGAGTAGTGAAGTGGACTCGGGAGGAGCTGTATCAACTCGACGTAAAGACCCGAAAAATGATGCATCTCTATAGAAGTTTGCATCCCAAATCGTCCGTTCCACAGTTGTACTTCCCCCGACAATAGGGAGGTCGTGGACTTTTGAGTTTGGAGTATCTGCATGACAGACTGGTGCTGAATACAGCCTGTAAAGTCGTCAGGAGTTCGGATCCCCTTTTCTGTATGGTCCGTGACCATGAGAGAGAAGGAATTGGAGCATTTCTCTTTAGGGCAGCTGCCCGAGCAGCTGATGAACTCGGTATAGTTTTCGACACTGAACGAGGTGACCACAACTCTGTCACCGAGTTGGAATCTGTTCAGCAAAAAGCTCAGATAAAAGCCGCAGAGATCACCTTCCTTCTGCGGAAACACAAGGATAAGCCAATGCATGGGGTCTTCTTCAATAACATTGGAGACCTTGGCTTATTAAAGCGCCTGACCTTCGCTTTTCTCAGGTCGAGTGGGCTGAAGACGGAAACTGAGGGGTTCACCAATCACCTTCAAACAAAAATCGAAACGTAATTTAACAAACGAGGAGCATGTTATTTTTCATCGGTAGGTACTACCTGAATTTCTCAGAAAATCTTCTTTTTCAGTTTTCCAATCCTGGCAATCCATTGACACATTATGATACTACATCCGAAGAAATATATGAAGAATGCGATGGACAAGTGGCTATGATAGTAAGTAGGCCTTGATTAATTTAACATTAGAATGAGAGGAAACTTCTCACTGATAACCATGAAGATTTTGCTGCACAAATATTAAAATAAAAGGAATGTGATAGAAAATAATTATTATACAATTTCTACAATATAAATTTAATTCGAGACTCGTTATACTATACATTACTACAAGGTAGCGTCATCTGTTGAATTGCAGTGAAACAGTTTGATTTAACTATTGTACACTGCTCTATATAACAATAGGTAATTACGAAAATCAATCAAGTAAATGATAAATCATGGTTAAACAGGTAAAAACAATTACAATACAATATCACTTACAGAAAAACAGGTAATCTATAAACGTTTATTATTTCCATTTTTATGTCAAAACTCAGTTGTATAAATATTCAAATCTGGCAAATCAGATGGATTTCCAAAAAAAAACAATAATAATACAATAGTACTTCTAGAAAAACAGGTAATTTATGAATATGGTAATTATTGGCATCCTATGCAACCACTTAATTAGACAAATGATTAGGTAGATTTCGAAAAACCAATTATAATACAATATTACTTCAAGAAAAACAGGTAATTTTTGAATATGTTGATGATTGGCATGCTATTATATATGCTGAATCAGATAAATGACTATGTAGATTATGAAAAATAAATTATAATACAATAAAACAGGTAATTCATGGTAATTCATAAATTTCGGAAAACCAATTATACAACATTACTTCAAGGGAATCAGCTAATTTAGGAATATGATAATTATTGACATTCTATGCCAACACGTAATTAAATAAATGATTTGGTAGATTTATAAAACCCAATTATAATACGATAGTACTTTCAGAAAAACAGGTAATTTTTGAATATAGTAATAATTTTCATTATATGCCAACACCGAATTGGATAAATGATTACGTAGATTTTGAAAAACCAATTATAATACAATATTATTTTCAGGAAAACAGGTAATTCGTGAATATGCTAATTATTGAGATTTTAGGCAGAGACCTGACGAAACAGATTAATTTCGAAAAACCAATTATAATACAATATTATTATAAGGAAAACAGCTAATTTATGAACATATTAATTATTGCCATTCTATGCCAACACATAATTAGATAAATGATTTGGTAGATTTATAAAACCCAATCAATACAATAGTACTTTTAGAAAAACAGGTAGTTTTTGAATAAGGTATTAATTTTCATTCTATGGCAACACTGAATTAGATGGATGATTACGTAGATTTTGAAAAACCAATTATAATACAATATTACCTTCAGGAAAACAGGTAATTCATGAATATGCTCATTATTTGCATTTTAGGCAGATACCTGACGAAACAGGTAAATTTCAAAAAAACAATTATAATACAATATTATTATAAGGAAAACAGCTAATTTATAAATATGTATGTAAATTATTAGCATTTTATGCCAAAACTCAATTATATAAGTTACTGGATCTGGCAAAACAGGAGAATCTCCGTAAAACAATCATAATACAAAGAAATATTCTACTTCTCCATCTTGATACAAAAAAAAAGGATGAGGGAATCTTCCTTTTTTTGTATCAAGATGAAGTAGTAGAAAGCCAAAAACTTTCTTTCCCAAAAATTCATCACTCCTAAAAATATAACCCCTTCAATTCAAACAAAAAAACAATTACAATACGATTTTATTTCTAGGACAACAGGTAATTTATTACTAAATCTGTTTGAAATTTGTTTTTCCGTTAACCAGCTGTTGCACCCCTACAAACGACAACCCTTAGGAGTCGAAACTTGTTCGAGCTGAAGACTAACGAGGTCTTACCTTTTAACGTGTGATTCGTAACACGGGTTGGACGATAGCAAGTGAAAATCGATCGTTCAGCCTGGAGTTTGAACCACCGACCAAGTTCACCAATGGTGAAGGTCATTCAAAAGGAAAATTCTTTGTTTGCAGGTTTTATTTTTGCCCTGTATGTAATAGAGGCTGTATGTTGTCCATGTTGAAATCATAGTTGTTCTGTAAAAGGTGACATGCACAGGTGGAATTGGTTTTCTTCAGTTCAAAACTTCTTTCTTGATTGCAGAAATTTTGCTAACCAAATAACTTGAAACGTTAAAAATATCATGAAATATCGAGACAGTAAGTAGAGTATATCATCTGGAATAACGTTTGCTCAAAAGCATAACTTGGAAAATTATTACATGCATTTTCATCGATGTAGGGAGGATATATGTCTCCAGAAAGGAGAAGTTATAACATAAATTCAAAGTTTTATGATTCTAATTACATATCTTGAAATTATTGAGTTCCAAAAATTACCTGTCACAAATATTGATTTTGAGTACCGATATATGTTCATTTTGAGTAGATAATCGTTTTCAAATGTATTTCAACAAAAATACCTTCAACTAATACTTTCAAATTCACTTTAGTGACACCCGCAAATCCTTTACTTTTTTAGGTTATGGGAGCAGGTACCGGTGGTACCGTATGTGGCATCGGCAGGAAATTCAAGGAAATATCCCCATCTACAAAAATCGTATGCGCCGACCCTTACGGTTCCATTTTTGCTCAGCCAGAAGACCTGAACAAAACCGACGTGACTTTCTGGGAAGTCGAAGGTATGGGTTATGAATTTATACCGACAGTTTTGGATCGATCTGTGGTCGATCAGTGGATCAAAGTACCCGACAGCGAAGCCCTGCCAATGGCCAGGAGGCTAATCAAAGAGGAAGGATTGCTAGTGGGTACGTATCATTTTTCACGTCCTCTATGTTAATACCAATATGGTCCACAGGACTTCACAATGGAAATTATTTAGATTGTTCATATGAATGTATAACCATCACTTCTCTCAAACCCCCACATACGACTGAGAGGAATGATATTTAAACTGGCTAACCCAATAACCATTGAAGGCTATCCGGATATTATTGGGTTAGCCAGTTCATTTATCATTTCTCTCAGTCATTTGGGGGTGTGAGGGAGTTGATGGTCAGATGATTTAGAACCTCAAGTTCTAAAATACACAAAATGGAGAAGGTACATTGTTCATATGCAGTTTGTAAGGATGCATTTTTATTTGTCTATCCATTTGGCATTGTTGACACGTATGCTGCTGTGAATATATCGATCAGAATTGTGTGCTGGTTCATGTATGTCCTTCTTAAGCAGGGCGAACACGGAAACATGACGGGACATGGCCTGTCCTTTGCCTCCTTCGCACACTACGGCACTGCGAGATGCCGCATCCTGTTCCCTCGTCTTCCTACCTGCTCGGTTCCTCTTGCTATTTCACCTCCTATATTTAATAACTCGATACTAGTATTGTTTACGGTGACTTCCTTATCAGATTGTGACATCTTATCCGGTGAGGAGGATATTGTAATTACAACTTCAACATCGTAGTATAATTCATTGGAGAAACAAAACTAGAGAGGGTATTGTTGGATAACATATATTTTTATAGTGACAATCTAGACGGCTGAAGGAAAGAAGTGTGAATATCTCGTTGTGCCTTTGTAGAGCACTAAAATCCAAGGCCATGCATGCGCCGTGAGGAGGAAAGGAGCAGCGGTGAGAGGACTGAGTTATCTGATTTGACTGTTGATACTTCCTTGGTTGACTAGAATACAGGACATCTACCTCAGAACTACCTTCAGCAAACCCATTCGTTATTTGTCTATTATAATCTCTGGTATTTTCTGCGTTGACACACATTACGAAGTCGCTCAGATTTCAATCCGCATACCAACATATCCTTGACTAAGGCTTCTCTCAACATGCCAAATTCACATGAAAGAGAGAGATTTTTGAGCTCTGTTACAAACTGTTCTATGGTTTGTCCCATTTTACTGACAAGTTTCCTGTCATGCACATTGGTGGGATACCTCGGAAATCCATAATCATCGGCTGTATTTTCTAACTTTTTCTTATTCTATTATTGAGCACTTTCGAATAATCACTTTCTATGTAGTATTTTCCACAAACTAGAGAAAAGTTATTGATCTCTTGTTCAATTTTTTCCTTTTAGGGAACTTAGTTCAAAGTTCACGACTGCGCCATGTTTTATTTGGTTTTAGAGAGGAGGTTAATTAAAACTACTCTATTACTTCAAGTCTAGAAGTCTAGATAGCAACTGTTTATTTTACGCCAGTCCACCTTTTGACGTGTGTCAGTCAGAGAACAATAACTTGTGCCACACTAACAAGGACGGCCTGGGACAGGCACAGAAAGTTTTTGCTCTTGTTAGATCGTGTTAGATCATATGCAGTCTCCGATATCTGTTCCTCTACAGAAAATGTTGGTATCATCTTCATCTCCATGAGCTAATACATTACAAAGCCCAGAAATATCACAAAAAAACCAGATGGGATTCCTGAGGTAATCCCAAAGTCCTGGATACGATTTAGGTCTACAAGTCATTGACAGCACCTATTTGGGTTCTATTTTGAGGGTATAAGAAGAGTTGACTTTCTTAATTACATTGCTACTATTAATTTACAAAATAGTTTTTATATGACTTCCAGATTTCTACTGGCATTAGCTTTCTAGTCAAACTATTGTTTGTAAACCTTTATTGGTGAAATAATTGCTCTGAGAAGTATGTCATACTGAGTGTGGAGGCGAGGAACTATTTCGTTGTCAATATTCAAGAACAAAGGTTCCAATACTGATTCTTAGTTCGATAACCAGGCAGTTGTTTTTCAAAAAGTTTGTCATGAACTTACTGTCACACGTTTTCAATATGTCTGACTAACAAAAATCGAGTTGAAAAAATTTCCTGAAGAATTTCTTTGGTTGCAGGCGCCAGTTCTGGAGCCATGATGGTGGCAGCTTTGAAAGCGGCAAAAGATTTACCAGCAGGACATAAAGTAGTAGTCATTTTACCCGACGGTATCAGAAACTACTTGACCAAGTTCGTTTGTGATCAATGGATGGAAGCACGAGGTCTTGCACCAGCTTTGAATACAAACAACCATTGGTGAGTGCTGTGGCAGTTCTGTTATTTTTCTGTTATTAACAAAAACATACATTGAAACTTCTCATTTCAGGTGGTGGGATTTGAATGTTTGTTCGTTGAAGTTGGCACCATTGCAGACAACAACCGGGGATGCTACTTACGAGAGGGTGTTGAGCATGCTAAAGAAGGGAGGAGTTGACCAGATCCCAGCATTGGGCCCGAATGGGTAAAGTTGTTCTATAATCGAACATTCAGTTTCCTGTGATGTAATCTCCTTCAAATTGCTATGCACTCAATTTCCTCCACCTACAATGAAACTAAAATATGCTTTGCTTCACATTGAATTGTTTCCATTTCAGAGGAGTGGTTGGAGTTGTCACAATGCAAAATATAGTGAACAAGGTTATATCTGGAAATCTACAGGCCAACGATTCCGTCGACAGGTGCATTGACAGGCTCTATCCCAAGGTTTTGAAATCTGCAAACCTTGGACTTGTATCGAGGGTTCTGGAGAAGGAGCCTTACGTTATGATCTTGGACGTTGAAGGTATTATTACACAATAATCGAACTGACAAATAATGAGTTAACTCTCTCTTATTGTAGGAACTGGCCCATCGAAAATCAATAGACCTGTGGGTATAGTAACAGCAATTGATTTGCTCGACTTCATTCAAAAGAAAGCATGAACATCTACTAATTCATTCATGTACTGGATTATATGTAGTATACTTGAGATATATCCATTTTTTTCTGTAGCAATTACTGTAATTACAAAAATGTTCGATACTTTCCATTAAAACCGATATATTATTGTGAGTTTCAATCAATGAGTTCTCCTTGTTAAGAATACTGGTTAATACATTAAGAGAATTAACTCCAGTGATCGTAAATTCGATGTTTTTGGGATCTGATATCACCCAGTTGCCCACTTACAGTGAAAGCTGCAGAGTAAGTTAGAAAACGAATCTCGTTGATAGATCGATGTTAAAGCTTTGCTTTGCAACTAACTGCCTTTGGAAGCCCCGTTCATCAATAATATTTGTGGTTTGACTCTCGCGTCTGATCGCGTTTTCTTGGGAGAAGATGTCACCGTTTCTTACCCTTCCAAATTGTTTTATACGAATCTCTGAATTACCGAATAGATTGACTTCACTGAAAGGAAGAAGAAAGGAATTCACAGCAATGTTCATAAGAGAAACGAAACCTGTGGGTTGAGCTACCCGGGCGCATCCCCCAGGTGGCAGGGGACTGATGGTCCTGCCCGGGAAACCAATGTGGCCTTACGGACGGGGCGAAACCTCGTTGTAATCAGCCTACCTCTGTTTATGCGGGGCTCTGCCAGAGGTGACCAACTCTTTCCTTGTTACTCGTAGGAAGACACATGAATGAAACAAACAAAAGAGAAACAACAAAAACAAAAACCAATCACGAGGCAGGACGGAAGTGCTCACGTCAATCTGAGGCGGTGGCTGAGGATGAACAGAAATATCCACCCCAACTACCGCTTGGAATGAGGCTGGACATAGCAGATCAGCTCGTGATGTAATACAAAGGCCAAGGCGTAAGCGCATTTGCGGCGCCGAGGTCAAAAAGAGAAAGAGCGCGAAAGAGACAGGAGTGGCAGCAACTATACGTGCACCTTCCTTCTGCCCTACTCCACCTCCAACAGCAAGGGCACTTCCTGCGGAGGGCGCCAAGAGCTCCTGGAAAGGGCAGGATAGACGATGACCTAGGAGAACAACTCTTCAGGAGGATGTACAATGGGTCACATGTGGCCTAAATGCTGTGGGTCTACTCACCCTCCCTACTCTACAGATACAGATACAGAAGAGAAACGAAATATAATTAGAAGGTCTACTAAACATAGGAGTGAAATACCTATTGAGAGAACATGCTGGATTTCGACAAGGTCGTCAGTTCTATCAAATACACGAACATGTGTATTTGTGTTATTTTTAACCGAAGGCCCCCCGAGAAGGAGACAAGTAGAAACAAAAGTGTTTTTGTCAAAAGAAAAAGTGAATGTATTGTGGCATTGTCTCGAATGAGACCGCTGCGCCCCCGGACGAAGTTTCTTTTCACCATGGACAGGAGGAATCTGGCCAAATGCGCTCGACTGAGAAGCAGCGGCAATATAAATTAGAGAGGAAGAAAGAGAGATCATAACTGATTTTTTACATCGAATATACGTAATATGAATAGTTTTTCATTTTGTTAACGTTGTATTGTTAACATACTTTTTGGAGTTTTATTATTTCATTGTGTATATTTTGATGTAATGAAATATTATTATTGACAAACTTCAAACTTACCTTGTATCATCTTCACAAACATTTCTTCAATTCCATGCTGTTCGTTATGACAATATGTGTTTTCTCTGTTTGTAAGATACATCTTAGGCATAATATCACAGCAAAATAATATGCAAATTAGTTAAAGTGAGTGCTTTAGTCGTGGAATGAGGAGACTTGTAACTAACCATGATGGCGCCATCTAGTTTACAGAAGCTAAAACTCATCGCTACTTTCGTCTAGGGTTCTTTTCAAGATGCATAGAAACCCTTCGTACAAATGTTTAGAAAGAGAGCAAATATCGAAATCTGGAAGTTTCCACTTCCAGGACGTTTCTTTCTTTGAGGAAGTAGTATTTTCCTCAACATCAAGAATAATAATCTTCACGTCAACCGAAAAGTCATTTTAATTCACACTGAGTATAATTTACTGAGAAGAATTTTGGTAAAGCGAGGTAATGAAGTAACTAATTGGAGCACTATTTTCCACCGAAAATTGAATATATCTCAGGTATGCATGATTTATTGAGGTTAGCAGTGCAGGTATGTTATACACTGTTGATCAAAAACAAGAACGTCTTGATGATTCTGAGCAGTGTTTGGCCATGTTCAAACATAACAAATAGTAATTTTTGTGTCGATATGATCGTCATCTGCATAGAGAACAACCGTGAACCACGTCCAAAGCGCTGGAAAGGTTATGGCCTGTGTATTTTGGGATGTGCGTAGTGAAATAATCCAATATCTTGAGAAGGAAAGTACCATCAACAGTGAATATTATATTGCGGTATTGGAGCGTTTGAAAGCCGAAATTGCCACATTTGAAGAAATAGTAAGTGCCGCTGTATCAAAACAGTGCACAGTGTCACAAATCAATGAAAACGATGGCGAAGTTGCATGAAATTGGCTTTGAATTGACCCCGCATACACCATATCCGCCAGATTTGGCTCCTAGCGACTACTGGCTCTTCGCAGACCTAAAAAGAATGCTCACCGGTAAGAAATGTCGCTCCAGTGAAGAGGTTGTTGTTGAAACTGAGGCCTGTTTTGAAGCAGGAGCTGGAATGACTGTGTGGCCAGAATATCGTCACAATTCAAGAATATATAATGATATACTGAAATGCAAGAAGACTGAGATGGTCCTTTTCACCAGGAAAAGAATAATTATCAGGCTTAAAACCTCACAAAATCTTCAAAAGCAAACTAAACTTCTCTGAAGAGGTGAAATACCTTGGTACTATTCTTGACAGAATGCTAACATGGAACCCTCACCTACAGAGTAGAACAAAAAGGGCATATATGGCTTATGAGCAATGTCGGAGGACAGCGGGACGCGCATGGGGTCTTTCACTCCGTGTTGTCACCTGGATCTACACTGCAGTAATAAGACCTATGTTAACATACGGAGCCATTGCATGGGGACCGAAAGTTCTACAAGAAACGTTCATGCAAAAATTATATAAAATACAGCGACTGGAATCATGAGAACAACACCAACCGCGGCAATGGAATTAATTACTGGTTTGACCCTTCTGAACCTGTACGTTAAGGAGGTTTCTTAATGGTCATGTTACGATTGCGCACGGCTGGTGTAAACCTCGAAATAGGAATGGGTCAATTGAGGCTAGGCCTATGACGAGAAACACTCATTGCGCAACCTCTGCTGCAGGCAACCAGTGAAGCAATTTAACCCAGGTTTGTGTTTAATAAACCCTACAAAAAACAAATAAAACAGAACACTGAGTCAGATGCTACAAATGCAATACGCATATATACAGATGGCTAAAAAACAAAAAAAGATTCAGGATGTGGAGTGTACCCCAGATCACTAATCCTAAGGATTAAGTGGGAAATGGGAAAAAATAGCAGCGTGGTCCAAACAGAACTCGTTGGCGCCACAAGAGAAATAACTAGCAAAAACATAACAATCTGCACTCATAGCAGACAAGCCCTATCAGCCTTGAACACCTCAGGGCTAGTACTAGAGTGCCACCAAGATTTAGCCAAAGCCTTGGTAGATAATAACATTATCCTGAGGTGGGTTAAAGGGCACGACAGGAGTAAAGGTGATTGCATTGCCGACTCTTTAGCGAAGGACCCTGTGGCACCTAGAGGCCTGATGACTTCGACAATTGCGGAACTATCCAAATTTACACCCATGCTCAATACCTAAAGAGATGGGGTGAAATCAAAGGATGCAATCTTTCCAGGATCACCCTGGGCGACCCTGAGAAGCTGACGCCGAAGAAATATCTGGTGATAACTAGGAAAAACCTACGATTAACAGTAGGATTTCCGACTAGCCAGTGTCAACTGAGGAAACACCTCCATATCATGAGGCTAATGGAGACACCTCTATGCAGGATGTGTGAATAGGAAGATGAAACTGTCAGGCATGTCCTATGTGAATGTCCGGAGTTATCGTCAATGAGAGAGTGTGTGTTCGGCGAGTCTTAGCCTACACCTGCCCATATAAAGGAGATGTCTTCCAGAGACTTGTCCACCTTCCTGGAAAGGACAGGATGGACGATGACCTAGGAGGACAACTCCTTGGGAGAATGTACAATGGGTCACATCTGGCCTAAGTGCTGTGGGCCTACACTCACCCACCCTACTCTACAGATACAGAATATACTGAAATGAGAATTCGTATCAATGGAACGAACGAATATGCACAAAGACAGCTGATCAGATTTGATTTTTTCATGGCCCTGGTCCTATATATATATAAACAGTCGTTCAATATGTTCAAATCGAAACAATGCTAAAATTTTCCTCTAGTTATCCATTTCATTGTGATGAAGTGCCATATCATTTCTTTCCGTACATAATATCAGCATCACCACAGTAGAATAATACAAGCAGTAGGCTCTCCCACCATGTGATCCGCCCGAGTTGCCAGGGACCTTCAACCGCTCTTAGGATGAGATTCTCATCTAACCCGTTCAGTGCTGTAGTGTCGAAGGATTCGACGGTCCTCGGCATCGGATTAGTTATAATAAACGGTCAGAAATTGATATTGTGTTTAGTTTATTCGCTGTTCTTATTATTGTTTTTAGTTTGTGTAGTTAGTTATAGGTAACTTACCACAAAATCTTCTATAATATCCTAGAATTTCGTTTTTATATGAGCGCACGCCCCTCTACTTGGACGCAAAAAATATTCAATTATGGGGCCTAAGCCAGTCCTACACTCTTGCCCATTACCAAATCGCATCCGATAACCAGATTCCTGCATGAATCCTCTTTAACTTATTTGAATGATAATGACGATTACATTCTACGGAAATCAAAAATGTTGTCAAGTATAATGAATAAGTCAATTTCTTATAAAACTAACACTGTAAATGTTAAAATAGAAAGCTGAAATAATAATATCAGTAAAAACCCATCATTCGCAGTTACTTTCAATATCTTACATTGGTGTAGAGGCTAAGGACAATGTCTACCATTCTCATAAATATTAACTTTTTTCAATTATGTTAACTACTATGTCTAATCTGTCGGCGTGTCTGTCTGCCTGAACTATTTATTCCACAGAAAATTCAAATCTCCCGCCACAATGATGTGCGCTCTGATTGCGCGTGACAGGACGCCACGTGACGGTACTCTCTGATTGGTTCGCCGCTGAGTGGAACACCACGTGACAATTTGGTTGACTGGATGCCTTAGCTACTTGGCTGGTGTGATGACGTCTGTCTCGCTAGAGCGACTGCCACAATTTGGTACACTCTGATTGGTTCGCCACTGGGTAGGACACTACGTGACAATTGGGGCAGGCGTCACCACCTGCCCCAATCCGGGGGATTTCTACTTAACTTATTTGAATCAAAGGACTATCACTAACTCAGAATGAGGACATGGACCAATAAGAAGCATACAGAGTACTGGACAAAAGTACCTGGCAACCTTCATTAGGGACCGTCCGAGAAAAGAATTACTTCAAAATAGTAGAATAATTATAGGGTTAATATCCGGTCATTATCCGTTTAGAGGTCACCTGAATAAAATGGGGCTGTACAACGGAGACCGCAGCTGCAGATTATGCAATGAAGGGATAGAAACAGCTGTACACATCTTATGCGAATGTGAGGCACTGAATCACAGGAGGCAGGTAATATATGGACGTACGAAATTACGTCCAGAAGAAGATGACGAATATCCAACACGGAACCTGTACAAACTAGTACAAGGAACGAGACTGATGAGAAGATGGGAGAATAAACGCAAAAAGCCCAAGAGGCTGTAGTGTTTTCTGGAGACTTGGACTAAATGAGGCAGCTCCCAAGGGACCAAAAAAAAAACTCAGAATAATATTTTCGGTGACATTCAAATTACGGATGTTCTGTGAAGACAGGAAGCGGTTATGATCATATATCTTAATTTTTATTCATTCCTAGATCCGCTCCTGAGTGAGGTGCAATATGCATACCTTGTCGGACACCCGAATTTCAAGAACAGTCAACCTGTTTTGGTTCAGCTGCCGACTAGTAAACGGTCCAACTGGTTGTTTTCGTTAAATAAATTATGTATATACTGTGAACTGTGTGTGATATTTTGTAGAGCTTCAATTACCCCGTAGACCATCATTACCCCGGTTTCCCCTATTAGCAAGAGTCGGCGGGAATCATATAGTTAAATGGATATGGATTATATCCTTGTTATCAGATTTAATAGAAACATTTGACAACACTGTCGATTACTCAGGAAGGGGGAAACCAATCAGCAGGATTACAGCATAATTCACGTTCTATCTCGATCGTGAATCGTGATTTCGTGATCGACCTTCCTAGAGTCTAGGCGATATTCCTCAAACTCTTTTATTTCTATTTTATGTTCAGAGTCATGGCTAGCAAAGTCCCCACGGTCAAGTTCAACAACGGACAAACATTCCCCATATTCGGTTTGGGAACATGGAAGGTGAGTTTTATCTATTATTTGGATATAAATTTGAGGTTATCTCGTTCGGCCTACCGGACAATGTCAAATGCCGGATTCCGTCAAATATTATCAATCAGGGGCGTACCGGACACTTCGATATGAATTTTTTTCCGATAATTTATTCAAAAAATAAGTGCAAATTTGTGGCAATGCTCCAAATGACCTGTAAAAAGTCAGGAATCGGCTATTAAAAATCATATCAAGGAAAAAACGAAGGAGTTTTGTTACTGACATGGAAATATTACAGGTTATTTTTGAGACTATTTTGAAAAAATCAAACTTGAGGTAAACATATGTCTTGAAGGTCTCAAATTTTGAATTACAGGATGATGAAGTTTTAATAAACCATTGGCCTACCGGACAATGTCAAATGCAGGATTCCGTCAAATTCTATCAATCAGGGGCGTACCGGACACTTTGATATGGATTTTTTACGATAATTTATTCAAAAAATAAGTCTCAATTTGTGGCAATGCTCCAAATGACCTCTAAAGTCAGGAGTCGGCTTTGAAAAATCATATCAAGAAAAAATCAAAGAAGTTTTGTTATTGACATGGAAATATTTCAGGTTATTTTTGAGATTATTTTGAAAAAATCAAACTTGAGGTAAACATATGTCTTGAAGGTATCAAATTTTGAATTACAGGATGATGAAGTTTTAATAAACCATTGGCCTACCGGACAATGTCAAATGCAGGATTCCGTCAAATTCTATCAATCAGGGGCGTACCGGACACTTTGATATGGATTTTTTACGATAATTTATTAAATTACAGGATGATGAAGTTTTAATAAACCTTTTTTTATGATAAACCCGGTATGGACATACATATTTTTGTAAAATATTCGCATCTACTATTGAAAAGCATTTCTTGCTTCACAGCGCAATTTGGTACGCTACTGATTTTTTCAAACTAAATATTTTTCAAATCTTCGTTCCACGCTCTTGATTTCAACCTACCGTTTACTACATTTTTTCTACTGTCCTCAGTAGTCAAGTTGAAATTTCCTAAAAATTTCCACAACATACAGAATAATGATCCATCGGTAGGTACATATCATATATTATGACGGTTTATGATACCCGGGATATATTTGGCAAATACCGATGATATCAAATACATTAGTTCTAGAGATTAACACCGTTTACAACACATAAAATGGAGCCTAAAAATAATTTTTCGTCAATATCGATATTTACAAACCCGCTAATCCAAAGAATTCCTTTCCAATTACATAAAACTCTTGAAAAAATTAGTTCAAGTTACTCATTACTTATTTCAGAAATCTGAAACCCGTGTGTGATATCCTTTGAACATAAATATTATTCGAAAGAAATCATTTCTGCATGAGGGGATGAAACTAGTAGTCCTTTTCTTGATACAATTACTGTTGAATAGAGATACACCGGTTTACAACCCCACGAAAAGTGGTTGAGAAAAAATCTCGCTAATGAAATGAAAAGATGATATATCCAGTTTTGTCGAAATAGTCTTTAATAAATGCAATACAACAACCAGATGACGTCTGGAAATATCTGCATCAATTCAACCAGCAATCGTAAATTTTACAGCTATGACGTCATACCTTTTATTCCCTGGCTATCTAATGAAACCAATTGGCAGTATTAATGATGTCGAAGCTTCATTCAAAATAAAAAATACACTGAGATTTATATTCATACATACAAAACCAAAACACTAGAAGGGAGAAATAAATATAGTTCAAAAAACTAAAAAACACGCTTTTAAAGAACAGCGAACTAAAAAGTTGAAAATATTTTTTTTAATAAGCTTAAAACAATAACGAACAAAAAATACTATTATTATTGTAAAAAAAGCGTGGGCGCTTTGTGCCATATTTTTTGTATATCAAGTGCCCGTCGCCGGACATCCGACGTTTCGGCCTTATTGCTTCTTCAGTACCGATGGATAACATAACAAGATGTCCTATTAGCTACTACTACTGTGGAAATATGAAACTTATTAATTTTTCCAGAACACGAGTAAAACATGTTGCATAATTCCCAAAAATGAGATGAATGTCTTACTTATATCAACATATCGGAAACATCTCTGTCAAATGTTCCTTCAAATTCCGCCTTGAAAGCTTGAGAATTTGAATTATATCAAGCGCTATTGATTGACATTTATCAAATTCGATGTAGTGCCAGAAATTTCTCTGATATTAGTTTGTTGCTATTGGGCAACTTTCTATTTATATTTTTGAATCTGTTAGCCAAATACGGTGATTTTTCAAGCTTTCCTCTCTTCGTTGTAGTTGATGGGGACAATCTACCATCGTCAAAATCCGTTCTGAGAGTTTGAATTTTGTCATTTGTCTATTTTTGATATATTCTCGATGTTCGTTCATTCGCACTATCACTGGTCCTGATGTTTCCCAATATATATTTGACCACAAGAACAACATATGTAGTGATTGCCACTTTTGTTTTGTTTTTTATAGTTTTGCATCCATGAATATGGTTCTAAGAGTATTTTTGTTTCATGGAGGTTTAACATCATGATTACTGCCAATAAGTTTTATCAGACAGTCTTGGACTATGAAGTCTGACGTTACAGTTGTGGAATTCATGGTTGTTATTATTTATAGAAACAAATAATGTATATAATTTTTCAAAACTAATTTCATTAGTTTCGTGTCTATTCGAGAATTATGGTGTCAATGAAAACACTATTTCTTCCATCTCATCAGAGATGTTTTTCAAAAGTTATTCCTGAACTGTTAAGTTCAAAGAATGTCACAAACGGGTTGTTGATACTGTTACTGCTTGAAAATGTCCAATGGAAAGTTTCAGGTTGAATTTTTATCAAAATTTTCATTTAAGTTTCGGGAAAAGGATTATTTGAACTAGTGGTATTATAAACATCGTTTTCAACTGGAAAAAGGTTGGTTGCGAACAATATTTTTTTCTCGGAAAAACAATTATTTTCTTGCGGACGTTTCGAATTCAATTGAATTCTTCTTCAGAGCTCTGTGAAGATGAATTTTCATTAACATACCTCCCACAAAACTTATACGCTTATTATCGTTGAAAATTTACAAAAAAAAATGAATTCTCAACTGAATTACTCACCAAAAAGTAATTTCCTCGTGTTAATAATATAACTAAATAACATATCTGTTAATTCCCCTTTTCTCATTCTTTTTTTTTCTGTCATTGATTTAAAAAATAGACACCACCTTATCAGAATCACAGAAATCCATTCGTTTGATTCATGTTGTTTTGTGTTGGTGTTGTCTCGAAAATTTGGTTGTTGCACGGTTTTTTATTTTTTATCGTGTATCTGATATGTCTCATGGTTTTTGAAATAGTTATATTACTACCACGAAGAAACTACTTTTCGGTAGTTTAATGACTCATGGTTCCTTGTAAAATTGAAACGATAATAATCGAATAAGTTTTTTTTGAGGTATATTAATGAAAATTCATTGCAACAGACACCTGAAAAAAATTGAACTAAATTCGAAACGTCGCAAAGGAACAATTGTCTTTTGGGAAAAAATTAATTGTGTTGCCTAACCAATCTTCTTTCAGAAAAATTAGTGGATCACATTTGACAATATATCAGTTCTGTTAACTGTGCATTTGCCAAGTTTATCGGTACTGATGGATATCGAGGGTAAATCATCATATCAAATAATCGGTAACTGAGGAATCTTCTTCTTAGATGTTTGGCAGATTTTTATCAAATTCGAAACGGTTAAAAACATTTTTTTATCGTAATTTGTTTGAGATTGCACAATAATAAGGCATGGAAAATTTCGAGAGGTTTGTTATTCTTTTTTTCTTAACATTCCAATTGTATCTGATAAACTGAATGTACTCACATTGAGTATATTGAGTATTGAGATAAAAATGCGTAAAGTATTGAAACAAAATTTTTAAAAAATCAAGGGATTTTTATCAGCGATTGATTCTTCGTCGCGGCAAAGTATTTGTTTCGATTTGAAATAGCCATAGTAACAAAATAGTTATTCAAGGATTCGGCGAATGATCTAAATTGACCTTGCTCCTATATACTAAAAAAGGAATGCCAATATTGATTCGTTACTTGCTTACGATCCGTGATAAAATTCAATGGCATGATCAACAACATTTGATCTGTTATGCAAGCGATAATGAGTTATCAGGAACTAGTGAAATAAAATATTATGATTCTCAGCTTTGATGACGGTGAGGGATCATTCGATACAAAAATAAAGTCATAAATCTCATCAAATCATCAAATCCAATTCATATATATACATAAATATATACATACAATGAAAAGTCAATATTCTTTCCTAAAAAGCACTTTTGTTATATAGGGTGGCGATTTGAATACCCATATTATTCATCCAATAGCTTCTAAGTAACGGAAAAAAATGAAAAAACACTGAAACTACCAAGTCGAAAGAATTCAAATCAAAGAATATATTACATTTGATGTATGAGGGGTGTATTTTTATTTTGAGGAAATTCTCCGTTTGCACAGATATTCTGAGGAATTAAATATTCTATATGTATATAATGAAAGTCGCCGTATTGAAAAAAATTTAAAGCAGTCTTCGCAAATACGAGGTCTTTTCAAAAAGTGAGATGAATGTTCAAATTTCGCAGGCTACTTACATTCTATTAGCGATTTTTTTTGTCGGTACCCTCGTCTTGAAGATATATTCACAGTTTCACAGTGATAATAAAATATAACAATAAAAGTGAATTGAGTCTGGGGGCCCATAGATATTAATCTTTTTTTTTTTTTGGTTGATTTTTTATAAATCTCTTTTGATGTTCACAAATATAAGCAATATATTCAAGGCAGTTCCAGTTAAATTTACTTTAAAGTTTTCTATGTCTATGTGTTGTTAGGGTCCAATTTGTATTAAACATGTTTTCTAAATATCTCTTTGAAAAGCTTTGAGAATTAGTTCGGGGAGCTGGTTTAAAATCCATACTTTCAACTTCTTTTTAAATAGGAAACGACCATTAAGTGTTTTCATTTCATTTGGGATTTTCTGTAAATTATCGGACATAGATAAGAGAGGAATCTTTGGTTTTTTGTAGTTTCAACCTTTGGTATTCTGGTTGTTTGGTTTTTCAGTCGAGTATTTTATGGATGGTCTATTTGGGGCAGGTCATACTTGTGTTGGTGATAGTAAGATGCAAGATTAAGGAAGTACTGTTGATGGATTGTAAATAGCTTAGATTGTTGGAAGAGTTTATCTGACGGAAATCTGTAGCTTTTATTATACATTATCTTTTTAGTGTCACTTCTAGGTTTTTAATATAATTATTAGTTATCCCACCACAAACAAGTATGCCATAGTTTATATGTGTTTGGGCTAAGCTTGCATAAAGTATGTTCATTTGTGTGGAGTCGAATAATTTTTGATACAATTTGAATTTTGTTATCAGTGATCCCAATTTTTTTGTTACGTATTCAGCGTAACGTAAATTACAGCGTAGCGTAAATTATAGATCAAGATTTTGATCTATAATGAGGCCTAGATATTTTATATGTTCTCTCCTTTCGATGTCAATGATATTGCCGTTTATATTAACTGTAATTTTATTATATGTGGGTAAGTTGTTGTTATAAATTGAAAAGGCAATACAGTGGGTCTTAGAAAAGTTTACTGTTAGTAGCCTACTGTCGAACGAAAGGAATAAAGTTTCCAATTCCCGGACGGTGTTGTCGGCAAAGCTAATAATATTCGCTTCCACATCAATATTGAAGAGATCATTGATATAAATATTGAATAGTATAGGTCCAGGCACCGTTCCTTGGGGCACTCCATACTAATAGTTATTCGTTTCAGCTAATCTAAAAACGTAATCGAATAAATCAATAATAATGGATATAGAATATAGATCATAGCCTTTCCCTGGCTTCATACATCTACAAACTGGTTCATATTTTCTGGCCTCTGTACTTGATTGCTTCAACAATTTGAGGTTCCTCGTTAGAATTTGAGGCTACCAAAAAATATTTTGTCTAGTTTGAAGAAAACGGTTGTGATGAGCGAGATACGGATTAACGAGTTCTTTCCTTCAACGTACGATTCCTAGCACGTTAAAACCATATAATATAACAGTTTGAATCATATGACCTGCTAATTACATGAATAGAAAAGAAAAATGTTAGCGTTTCGTCGAAAAAAAAAGAATTTCTTTGTCTCCTAGTGTTAGGAATTCAATTAGTTCATGTTTATCCCGTGTACTAAAACTCAGTAGCGGAAATGTTTGTTAATTCACCTTTATAGGTTTGTCCAGTGAGGTTGTATAAAGACCTATAAAATTTTTTATGATTTAGAAAACATGCGAGTTAATCGATAACAAGGCAATTTTCAATTATTCAAAATGCTATGGATATTATGGAATGCGCCATGCCATTATCAGACCGTTATCTATTTTCTATAATTATTCACATTAATTATGACTTTCATACTAACATAGTCGAATAAAACACCAGTATGGAAGTTTACAAATACAAGGTCAGGTTACCTAATACTTCACCCAATAATTGAATGTTAGAGGTCCCCGTTCAAATAGTCGATGATACTCACTGTTCCACGTAGACATAATATTCTAATATGTATACAGGGTGTAACATAAGTTCATTAAAATATTCATGAGACGTATCCCTGATACAATTTCGAGAAAAAAGTATATACAGTGTCACCGATAAAGTCCGCATCAAATGGGAAACTTTTTTATTTATCGTTTTATTTGAAATTTGATTTTGGCAGTAGATTTTGCTTAAGAAATGATGTCAAATGGCGTCTACAAAATAGGTCACGTGATTTCCTTAACCTGTACTAAATCATTTATTTTAACTAATCTCGTCACCAAATTTCTTTTTTTGCAATATAATAAATGTTTCTTTTTTTAAATGTCAATTTTGACAGGTTAAAGAAATCACGTGACCTATTTTGTAGACGCCATTTGACATCATTTCTTAAGCAAAATCTACTGCCAAAATCAAATTTCACATAAAACGATAAATAAAAAAGTTTCCCATTTGTGTCCAGAAATGCTTCGTTTTGGAGATACAGGGTGTTGAATTTGAATTTTTTGTTCGATTTTTAACAATAACTTTTGCAAAAAATAAATTATCCGCACGGAATTTGGTACCCGGGGTTTATTTTTTGACGTGGGAAATCATAATTTTGTATTAATTTTCACGTGACATCTACGTACGCTGTCATTATTCATTTCAAATTGTCCCAACTCTTTTGAAAGTGAACTTGTGGTACTTTTCATGAAAAAAGCTAATTTCCACACCTTCTCCATGTTGGAGAAAGGTCTTAAGCTCAGATAGGGGTGGGAAGTTTTTACATCAAAAGAAATGAACCCAACAGAAAGCTTATGATGCCTTGCTACCCCTGATTCATTGCATCATACCTACGATGTAGCCTTATTCCAACGATTATCCATTTCAACCCCCTAACTCATTTGCATTTTTTAGTCGAAACCCGGTGAAGTCACTCAAGCAGTGAAGGATGCCATTGACATTGGTTACCGTCACATTGACTGCGCTCATGTCTACGGAAACGAAGCTGAGGTAGGAGCTGCTCTGAAAGCGAAACTCGCCGATGGTACCGTCAAACGCGAAGAGTTGTACATCACCAGCAAGCTGTGGAACACTTTCCACCGACCCGATTTAGTTGAACCAGCTCTGAAAACCACTCTGAAGAACTTGGGACTGGAGTACCTCGACTTGTATCTGATCCATTGGCCATTCGCTCTGAAAGTGAGTTATCTACCCCAGAAAATCTCGATCATTCACACATTAAAGTTCTTTACATCAGCTGTAAGAAGAAAATCCATTGGTATTGTATAGATACATCAACGATGGAGAAAAATATTGGTTTTGAAGGCAAAGAGTCTATGATCAAATTCCAGTATTTTTCAAAAGACTGTTTTGTGCAGCAGTTATTTATATTTCATTAGTAAACCTACCTCCACTGAACCTCATGAGTATCAGATTAATTCTATTGGGTTTAATTCGCAGTGGTATGGTGGTAACCTTAAAACTGTAATTCCATGACTTAACGCCATTTCATNACTCATTACAAGCTCATTACTGATTTTTGTCATAAATAATACCTTTTAATCGTACTAGTATTGTGTATTATCTATAATTTGCCACAACCTACAACTCTACTGCTTACTATATTTTGATTCTGCTATAAACTGGTAACGTAAAATTTAGATATGAAAACGCGCTTTACTCTCAATCATTATTGGTTTTACTATAAGTCCAAATTTTCATAAACATTGCTTTTTGACAAAATCAAATGGAAAAATGGGGGACATCGACTGGAATACTGCTATAGGAAAAAATACACACTACTAATTCTTTTATCAATAGTGGGGATAGTGGTGAAATCAATACCATATATAAGATCTGGTCATTATACCCTTGCCTTCCTCCCTCCAGGGGAGTTGGTAAATCAAATAAGGTCTTCCTCAAAATACTTAATCTGAGTTCATCTAAATGTTACATCGATTTCAGGAAGACGGTGAACTCTTCCCTACAAATGCAGATGGTACAACAGCCTACAGTGACGTAGACTATGTTGATACCTGGAAAGCAATGGAGGCAGTACAAAAGAAAGGACTTACCAGGTCTATTGGAGTATCCAACTTCAACAAGAAGCAAATAGAGCGTGTCCTTCAGAACTGTACCATCAAGCCAGTAACTAACCAGGTAAGATAGACAGTATCTGGTGATTTGACTTTGAAACAGAATTTTTCTTTGGAATGAAGTCAAAAATAACCATGGAAAATGTAGGTATGTTCAACATTTTCTGATATCCTGATGGTGAACTGACCAAATAAAGACAGACAAAAAGGTTTTCAAAATTTTCTGCCAGCACCAAGACAAAATATATAAATATTATTTCACCTACTGTAGATCGAGGTGCATCCATACCTGAACCAGAAGAAACTAATTGAGTATCTGAAATCCAAAGATATCGTTGTCACAGCCTACAGCCCTCTGGGATCACCCGACAGACCATGGGCCAAACCAGAAGACCCACAACTACTGGATGATGCTAAAATCAAAGAGATTGCTGGAAAGTATAACAAAACCCCCGCCCAAGTTGTATTGAAGTACCAGGTGCAAAGGGGCTGCATCACCATTCCTAAGTCTGTTACTAAATCGAGGATCCAACAGAACTTCGAAATCTGGGACTTTAATTTGAGTCCCGAAGATATGGCTCTCATTGATACCTTCGACTGCAATGGCAGGATTTGTCCTTACGTTGAGTAAGTATTCTTTTCTGGAAAAGATGCCAGTAATGTCACAATAACACAGTTACTCACAGTTACAAGTTAGGAAGAGTTTCAAAACTATGACAAAATAGCATTTCACCATTCTTGTTACATTCAAACATTCTTTGACAAATTTCATCTCAACCAGCAGTAGCCATGTTTCAAATAATCGATAATTGAACTTTCAAACATCTTGAAGGCTTTGATAATCTTCAGTTTAGGTCGAGAAATGGATGCTTTTCTTGAGTGAGGTCCTTTCTTGCAATGTTTATCCCCACTTATGACTGGAGATAGCCAGTTCATTGCAATGCCTGGTATTACTATTCATATTATCCGATATTTCTCATAGGTAACTGATATGTCGACAAGATGTTGGTTTTTCTTATAGACAATAAACACTACCATTTAGGTAGTGCATTATAGATAATTCACTACATTAATGTATAGAATCAGTCCTGCCTGGAAAAGACATAGAATCTACTGTAGCTAGCTGGATCTATGTCATGCTTCTCAACAGAACAGCTACTACGATTCTTCAAGATGAGAGCATTAGGTTAAGGGTAAAAAGGAGTTGCCCTCAAGGTGACGATAGTTTGCTTGATGTCCTTGACAGAAGAGAAGTAGACCTGTAAGCTTATGCAATCAACCTTGTCATCCTGGCAAGGACCACGTTGGAAAGAATAGTATGTAATATCCTCTGAGACTGATGCTAAAAACACTTGAAAAACTATGATAATCACCTTCACCATGAAGAGGTATCTAGATGATATAACTCCTTTTCCCCATTGATGAGGTTATTCCATTTGCAATAATGATAAAATATCTTGGTGATATCTTTGATAAAAAGCTCGCCTGGAACGCTCACTTGGAAACAGTTTTACACAAAGAAAGGTTATTCCCATGGTCCTAGGCCCTAGGTCCCAAACAAATTCATTGGATATGAATGATGCATCACTCATGGCTTTGTCAAGAAGCTGGATTCATTTAGTCGAATTTGAATAGGCGTAAATCCTCTCGGAGGAACGACAAATAGACCGATTCACTTTAGGACCCAACCTAGTTTTTATGCCAGTCAAGAGCCTTGGAAATATCTAGTGTAACATCTTGAAACTCTCTGTTTTCCATTATTTAATTACCCCATAGGGGTATGAATGTCAGAAGTATGCTACAAACCATAATATGCCTTCAAGGTTCAAGTCAATACATCTCAAACTACACTTTTTTAGAGTTCTTTCATTTCTAGAACGGAATTACTGTGAAATTAACTTTCCGAGGTCATTTTTCATATACCCCATAGAAATATTGTAGGTGGAGAAACTAATTTTGACTTTTTTTCAGTGCCTACACACACAAGGATCATCCTTTCGTTAACGATGAATACTAAATAACTGGATCTATATATAACTTACACAAGTTAATGTTTTCAAAATGAAATAAAGCCTAAAACTGTTTTCTCTTGTTTGATTTATATTGATACTTTTCGAACGCTGCACGAAGTATCACTATATTTTGGGTAAATAAGCATTCAATATAGAGGGGCGGTCTAAGCAATGAAGCGCCATGCCCAAGAACGCGACCCAAACAAGGGCAGACGTCGTTGACGGTTGTATACGTACAACGTACAGCCTTGGAATATGCAGGTAGGTTCTTTGTATAGCGTAAATAAGCATCAAGAAAGGGAATCAGGAATTTCCACCCCCAAGGGGGGAAAATAGGGGTTCATAGATCGTATAGAGTTTCGTCAGTTTTGAAGTTTCAAACCGGAAGTTTTTGGTTGATAAAATATTGTAACTATTCGTTCAAAATGGTCTGTCACGAAACTCAATGTGACAAACCAAATTCTTCTCGGGCGAAGCCGCAGGCAACAACTACTATATTATAATAATAATAATAATAACGTTTTTCCGCAAAACTGAATAAAAAAATGGTGCGGTATAAACAAAGAAATATAAATTATTTTTACATTCTAAGGTATATCACTGCAGGAAAGAATTTCACTAAAGAACATATAATTTCAGTGCTAATAAATAATGATTCCTACTAAGGCAGAGTTGTAAGGATATCCTGATTTGGTTAATACAAGAGATGTATGTCAAATCATATAGTAAAAGAACTAAACAGGCAATGAACGATAAATGCGTACATTTTCATAGTTTTATAGTTTGAGTTTATACACTCTGATAACAAGAAGTAATACAAGGGAGTTTTTGTCATCAATTTGCTATTTATGTTGAATTCTAGGACATATTTCATGTGCTATGTATTTGGTGAGTATGGAATGACGAAAGAACTCGGCATGAGCTCCTATGTGGTTTCTGATGGTTCAAAACATATTGAAATGATCAAAAATCTCGAGAAGTGGCTGCCCCACGAATTGAACAATTAACAGAAATTGTCACGTTTTGAGGTATATTCTTCTTTGCTTCTGAGCAACCGAAACGATCCTTTTTTGGATCGGATCGTCACGTGTGACGACAAAGTGGATCCTCCACGAATACAGGACAGTCGTTGGACATCGATGAGCCACCCATACACTTTCCAAAGGCACAAACCTATAAAAAAGAGCATGGTTACTGTATGGTGATCGGTGGCTGGTGTGATTCACTAAAACTTACTGCCACCAGATCATGCCATCACAGCATAGTCCTATTGTGAGGAAATCGATGAAATGTACTGAACACTGCAGCAACAGGCACTGGTCAACAGAAGAGGTCAGATCCTGCTCCATAACAATGCCTGTGAGAAAATCGACGAAATGTACTGAAAATTGCGACGGCAGCATCCGGCACTGGTCATCGGAAGAAGTCCGATCCTGCTCCACAACAACGTATGTCCGCACGTTTGACAAATCACTGTCCGAAAATTAAAGGAATTTAGCGTTCAAGTTCTGCCTCAGACCTTTGGCCAACCGACTACCATCTTTTAAAACATTTAGATAACTCTCTCACTGGTAGAACCCTCGCCAATCAGGACCAGGCAAAAACTACCTTCGTCAACTTCATCAAATACCTAGCACACAATGTTAATGCTGACGGAATCGTGTGACTCGTGTTACAAACGTGCACTGATTCGAATGTCGCTTATTTCGATTAAATTGAGTGAGTATTCAATGAGATATTATAGTTTGAAGTAGACTCACTGAAACGAAAGAATTGTGTTTAACAATTTAAATTTCCAGGTGGGTCAAATTAGAATCAGGATTCTCTTTGAAATAGGAACGTATACCATCAATCAAATTGTAGTAGTAAGCGCTAAAGTTATTGTTATCCCACATAACTACCCTCTTAGATACTAGAAATTGGTTGGCTTGCACTATATTATAGACATCCTCTTCAAATAATTCAAATTTAGCGCTTAATGCCCTCACTATCAGCATCTTGTTACCCTTCCTGATAGCAGGAGTGACCTTAAAATAGCTGTCACTCGGAAAAATGGCGGGAAAGTGTCCATCTAGAAAACTGTGTCCTCCACAGAAAAAATCCATCAACTTCTGTTGAAATAAGTCGCAGAGATAAGCCCATTCGAAGACATCGAAGGAAATTTTGTTCCTTGTGAAGGGTTGCGACAAAATGATACATGAGCTAAATTTTCGCGCTGGTGATAGGCCCACCCGTATTTCGTAGCCTCCGATTGGAAACGATGATTGCAGTAAAAGATGATCCTCAATTGTGAAAGTAATTTCGTTACTTACATACTCCATTTTGTCACTGGCTGAAGAGTAACACTGGCTTTCACCATTACACTGATGGCGACGAAGGGAAAAAACTGTTACTCTAGAAAGATCACCTACCACCAACACTGATGGACACTAGATACTAACTGATACTATGTGATAGGAAACAGAACAACAACATTAAGAAAATAATTTCTCCCGCCATTTCCACCCAAAGATTAGTGAATATTGCGCTCCTGAGAATGTCCATGCTTTTCCCGCCAAAATGGTTCTTTCCAAACGTGAGCGCAAGTCTAGTTGAAGTTGAGTGGGATTTACATCAGAGCTTTTGTACTGTAAACCACATTTTTATTTTGTGACGTCAAACAAATAGCTAGCTTAGATATTGTTTATCGTGAATGTGTCATTACGTACGGTTTATTATTATTTGAACTTTTGAAAGATATTCAGGAACTTGACATTCAGAAATGTGTTGAAAGAGGTTGTTCGTTTGCCTTCCCCACTGTGTGTCTGATATTTATCTCTCTATTTTCCAGATCGACAAAATTCGCTGTCTGTTAAAGAAATCAGGGGAATTTTCATTTACCATAAAAAATATCTACTTATTCATCAATTTATATTTTGCCCCTTCAAAGTAGTCTCTCTCAAATATAATACACTTATGCCAGCGTTTATTCCAATCCTCAAACAATTTCTGATATGCACTTTTTGGTATGTCTTTGAACTCTCTCAGGGATTCTGTGAGACTGAATTATCAATATTTTTCCAGATCATAAGTAGTATTGTTTTTATTTTACAAAGTTCTGTAGATCATGAGCTCAAAACATAACACAACACAACAAAGTTTTTGTTTCGGGGTTGAAATTTGATGATTTTAATGTATTTCCACGTGTTAAAACCGAAAGTGACCATAAAAATTATATAATAGCTCTTGTTTTCAAGATATAGTATCATTATATTATATATATGTATATTGAGTTTTCAACAAATGAAATATTTCATCACCAACAGTTGGTACACATGTTTGTTTACATAACACCCCTCTCATCAGCTGTTCTTAAGTAGTAAACATAACCTATGTGAGTTTGTCAATTGTACGCACGTGGTTGCTATTGAAATTATCGTGTGAAGTTGATTTTTAAATTAATTTAAGTGCTGATCTGAAATGCCTCGAAAGTGTGTGAATTCTGTCGATAGCTTTTGCTATATATGTGGTGAAATAACATTTAAGGCTCAGAAACGTAAAATGACACCNAGAATAATGTTTTTTTTTATTAATTTTGTACTTAAAATATTCTAAAAGAAACATAACAATATTGTTTTATGTACTTTCACTTTTCACGTATAGTATAACTACTCTTTAAGATTAAGTACTGTGTATCTCAAAAACCAGAGCTAATAAAAATTTTTCATTATTATTTTCGTTTTTATCACCCCAAAATTAGTAGGAATTGACTAATTTAGTGTAGGAAACATTCAAAAAATATTTTTTTGTTGTGTTGTGAATTAGTAGAACTATTGAAAAAACAGAACATTTGGCAACATTGCGGATCCAAACCACTCGACAACGGAGAACACAATCTATAGGAAAATAAGAATCCCAGCCGTTTTTTTGCCAATATCTTTCTTCTTCGGCCGCGCCGAACAACGATTATACACCTCGAAAGGATGGCTCAATTTCCATTCGCAAGTATTGGCCGTTTCTCAAATGTACTATATTGAACGTCACCGACGGTACCTTATCTGTACATCGTTTTCTATTAGAGCCAGAGAATTTATCTACTTTTAATTGCTTAAAATCGACTTTCAGAGGTTTCTTCACTATCGTAATATGTTCTTCAAGACATTCGTTTAACCTGTTGGAATACAATTTGTTAATCCATTATAAGGAAGTAAAAATATTCTTCAGCAAATTAGTGAGAAAACTTAAAAATCGTAATAAATTTATGACTCTCAGTTGAGTTTCTTTAGTTAATTTTGATGTTGGGTTTTGAGTTAGTTGAGGTAGAGATGCTGGAAATAAATAAATAATTAAATTGTTTATTGAATGTGAGGATACAAATTTCTCGTGTAATGCATGAAAACGCAGGTCTTTTCAATTTGTTATTGAAAAACAAGAAGTGATTACATTTGAGGATAGAAAATCGCCTAATGAAAAAAAAATCAATTGACAATATCATATAGTGAAGTGATTTCAACTATATGAGATATCTTGTAAAACATTTTCTCATTTCAAACCATAAGCCTTGTTGAAAAGTCTAATAATGCATATATCCACAGTGAACTGTGCTTGCCCCTTGAAATATACCTACGTTCCTCCTATGTTCATATGATCATCCTTGAAATAAAAACACACTTAGAAAAAAAAATCAGTTTTTTGAATTCTCTGTTTTGTGCCTTAGTACAAGCTTTACCAGCATAATTTATGTATATTACTTTGAAGTAGGTTCGTGTTGTTTCGTCAATTGTTTGTTTCTAAAGTATAATGGCTAGCAAAGTCCCCAGTGTAATGTTTAACGACGGACATACATCACCCATATTTGGTTTGGGGACGTGGTTGGTAAGTTTAGTGCACCGTAATCTCAAACAAATTGTGTTGTATTATCAAGAATAATACTAACTTATGAACCTACCTTTATGTGCATGAAATTCACCCAAAAACTTAGCCGAAATTTAGAATGTGCCTTAGCTCTCTCACCGATTCAGTATCTCAATCGTCGAAGAACGCCGCCTCGTGAGTCTCTTCAATCTTAGGAACATGAAGAAGTCGTACGGAGCCAAATCTGGTGAATATGGTGGCTGGGCCATGATTACGGAGTTGTTTTTGACCAAAAAATTTCGAACAATGTGCTGGGGCGTTCAGAGCGAGCGCCGTCATTCACATAATCTCGACCTTTTGTGAAAAGCTTATTCCACTTGTAAACATATTTTTGACTCAAAATACGATCACCGTATGCCACTTAACATGCTAAACAGTTGAAACTGTGAACGTATGTTCGAGACGGGTGTACCAACATGAAAAAATTGAAAAAACGCTAATCGAATGTACGTAGGTAGCCCGCTATATTTAAACATTCACCTTATTTTTTGAATAGACCTCGTACACGTTTGTATTGCGCTGTACCTCAGCAGGTTTGGTGAAATCTCAGCAATGTTCTGTAGTGACAATAAATTTGAAAAAAGAAAAGTACTAGGTTGATTTAGGTTAGGTCCAAAACGGGTGGATCTACTTGACCTTCCACTGCAACTCGCAAGGTTTTATTGTGAGTCTCTGCATATGATGATTCAAATGACAGTGACCTGTAAGAAGGCCTGTTAGACATCGTAGTTCATCCTTACTGTAGTCCAATTTAGACGTTGCTCGGTGGAAGCCAAGAGCTTTCAACGTCGCTTGACTGTCCGAGAATATTTTTATTGACTTGTGAGTGAGGTTGGATTCTTGCAATCTCTCCGCACACAATTCAATAGCGTAAATTTCCGCAGGAAATACAGTCGCATAAGTTCCTAGGCATGTAGATATCTCTGTCCTGCGTTTGTCCATAACCGGAAGGTGTTTTTGATCCATCTGTGAACCAACAACTATCTGTTTGAAGGTGATTGACAATGTTTCGTGGTGTATTTCATTAGTTTGGACTTCCATTGTCTAATATAATACAAATTGATTTGAAATTTCTGAAAAAATATTGAAAAGAGTGGAGTAGAGTGGTTTGAAACTCTGATTGATACCAAGATGTTAGTGTCATCCGCAAAAATTATAGTAATGGAAGCTTTCGAACAAAATTTCGGAAGATCATTAATAAAAACAAAAAAAAAGAGGTCCTAAAACAGAGCCTTGAGGTACCCCTCTTACTATACATTTACTCATAGAGTTAATTCCATTCACACAGACCAGCTGACTACGGCCAGTAAGGTTAGATCTAACCCAATTCAATGCAGGGCCACGTATACCATAAAACTGCAATTTGTGTAGCAGTATGTCATGGTCAATGAGGTCGAAAGCTTTGCTCAAATCAAAAAATAACCCCAGAGTCTGCTGTTTGTTTTCCAAGATTTCAAACACATGTTTAATGAGTTGGTCAATTGCACCAACTGTGGATTTATTTCTTCTATAAGCATTCTAACTAGAAAAAAATAATCTGAATGATTCAAAGTAATCATATAATCTTTAATAGAAACAGTATTCAATAATCTTAGAAAACTGACTAAGTAGCGATATAGGCCTGTAAGATGCACAGTCAGATCTCGAGCCCTGTCATAATTTTCCCCTAACGCGCCAAATGAACTTTATAAAATAAAGTTGAAAAGCTTTTTTAAATTAAAATCTATCGTATCTTCAAAACGTATTTTTTTTATAGGCTGAACCAGAAGAAGTTACCCAAGCAGTGGAGTTCGCTATCGACGTAGGCTATCGCCATTTCGATTGCGCTCCCGTCTACGGCAATGAGGCTGAAGTCGGGAAGGCCTTGAAGGCCAAAATTAAAGATGGAACCGTCAAACGCGAAGATTTGTTCATCACCAGCAAGCTGTGGAACACTTTCCATCTTCCTTGTATGATTGAATCAGCTCTGAGAACAACGTTGAATGATCTGGGACTGGAATATCTCGACTTGTATCTGGTCCACTGGCCATTCGCTTTGAAGGTAAAAGATACATAGGTACAGTAGATGTGACGTGATAGATGTGAATAAGCGGCAAAAACTGAAATACAAAATTGTCAAGATTGTATCCTGATATATACTAATAAACAGGGTGTCCCATATAAAACTCCGCGGGCAAATATCTAAAAAATGAAAAAGAATATCCATATTTCGTGAAAGCAGATAATTTTGGTGTCAAAGGGTCCTCTTATTTACGTAGAGATCCAGCACTAGGCGTCATCCGTTAGGGCGTCGCGACACCGACGCCAATTTTTTTTAAAAGGTAACCCAATTGGTTTTTGAATTCCGCATTAAATTCTGAATTCAGCCACATCTGTATCTGTAGAGTAGGAAGGGTGAGTGTAAGCCCACGTACTTAGGCCACATGTGACCCATTGTACATCCTCCCGAGGAGTTGTCCTCCTAGGTCGTCGTCAATCCTGTCCTTTCCAGGAAGGTGGACAGGTCGCTGGGAGACATCTCCTTTATATCGGCAGGTGTAGACCAAGACTCGCCGAACACACACTCTCTTATTGACGATAACTCCGGGCACTCGCACAGGACATGCCTGACAGTCTCATCTTCCTGTTCACACATCCTG